AGAATTCTATATTAACAAGGAATTCATCATCCTGAGCTCAACTTCACGGTCTGGGGAGCAGGAGAGGGAGGGAGATTTCTGCTTGCCGCCAAGGTCACGCGAAATATAGGTAGGTATATTTCCTTTCTGGAGAAAGCCAGGAAACAGCTCGAATGCGAAATGTGATTTTTTGTGCTCGCATATGAGAACGGAGAAGTTTTTCCGAAGCTCGACTCCATTCAACAAGCTGGACTGCTAATGAGATTCTAGCTTGCGACGTTGACACCTGCCCGAGCGATGGCGGAGACCGGGCAAGTGGAGCGGAGGCTCAAATATTGAATAAGCAAGCGGCCCGAGCAAGGAACCAACGAACGAACGAACGGACGAACTGACTAGCGACGCCGACGCAAGAAAAACTGAGTGAGCTAACTCTAATATCGGTTGTTCTCTCCTCCGTTTCTCTCGGAGCAGTCACGCGTTCGAGGTGGTTATGATCGTGATTTTTACTCACTCAGTCGAGAGAAACTTGACGGACGAACATCCGAAGCTAAGGGCCTTGCCCGGCAAGGAACCGCCGAGCCCCGCCGCACAGTCACTCACTTAGTGAAATATTCAGTGATGACTAAGAATCACAGCTTAGACTCCTAGGCGACTGCAACGACCTTCGCCCGGTCGGCGGTCGGTCGGTGGGTCGGTCGGTGGGTCGGTCGGTCGGTTGCTCGGTCGCTATCTGCGGGATCGAGATGATTGAGACCGATTATCGGCAAGGTGTTCCGTCAAAAGCGCTGCTTAATCCGCATCTCTGTCGAGGACCGTCGGAGTCGACCTCGAGTCGGCCATCTACCTGAGTGACTTTTACGGCCCAGTTCCCGAGGAGACTCAACGTAATTTAACTCCGAGGTCTATGATTGTGGATTGTTCACTTGATCCATGGGCTTTCCCATTTTGAAAATTGCAATCGGTCGAATGTGAGTGTGGAGCTTGAAAAATGGCGTGATACTCCACAAACCCCTTCCCCTCCCCCTCTCTCAAAGAATTTCCTTTGTACTACCTTTCCCTTGTTTCGATCCATCGTTGTTTGTTGATACTAACTGTCGGCACCCAGACGCGGTCCACCTTCTCCCCGGTAGCGTAATTATAGTCGACGAGAAGTGTACTTGATCATCAAGCGGTTTCCCCCGCACTAGGGGGGGGAAGCGAAGGAAAAGCCCCGCCGTTGCGTCAGCCGACAGAGAGGAACGGTCGAGGAGAGGGACCTGCCGCTCGCTGCTGCTGTCTTTGAGCCCCCGTTTCCCGCTCAGCAATCCAGCAAGTGGAGCGGCAGCCATCACTCGATGAAAGGATATAGGAGAACGACTTCGGACCGCCGCCAACGCCGCTCTAGAGCAGTTTGAGATAGGGCTGACTCAGTCGTCGCTTGGATCGTCGGTACTTAGTTGATGAGGGAACGCTTGCTCGCCCGTCGGCGCATCGCCCGTGAAGGTGGCCTCTGCGGCGGCAGCCTTCTCCTGGACCATCTCTTAGCCGCACCCACTCCGTGCCCGTTAATGACATTGATCGATGCGTGTTTTTCTCCGATCAAACTTGGATTTTCCTGGGATCATTGATTGCGCAGGGAGCTTCAACTCTGTGCCAAATGATAAGATTGATCTTTTTTGTTGCTAGTTGACAAGATCTGTCCGATGTGCCTTCGATTCCGGCCAGCCTTGCGGCCATAAGAGACTCCGTGACGTATTCGACCGTCGGAACGCGAGGTGTGAATCTGGCGGATTCGAACCACCGCATCTCCGGGCTCCATTCATGCAATCGCCGGGCAGAATATTCTCCGATCGGATTCCCCGATCATACATTCAACAGTCCATGAACCATTGAAATGCAAGTGACTTCCGTCGTTGTCAAAGATGTAGTGGAGGAGCGGACGTCAAGCTCACTGTTCGTAAACATTTTTATCGAACTTCATTGTGCTATCGAGAAGGGGAACTGCCTCCAAGTGAATCTCGATAACCTTGACAGTTTTGGACGTCTGAAATATGGATCTGCCATGCGGATCATTCATTTCGTAGGATCGATGCCGAATATCTGAGTCAAAATCAGTCGGGACGACGAGTCATTCGTCCGGAACTCACGATTAGATCGAAGGGAAACCCGAGAGGCAGAGTCAGTGAAGATTTTAATCTCCGCGATCTCATGTCCCGAGTGCCTCCTACAGGTCTCGAGAGATTTTTCTCGGACGGACCGTAATCGATGGAGAGAACTCCTCGGATGTGCGAAGGGAGCCGGGGCGGAAAAATACTGGTGCTCAGGCACTCGCATGACAAGAGCCTCCAGAACACAAGAGATTGAACGACCTCGTGGTCTTGAAGAAAACTCAATGCGAAGTTTACTTATATTCAAAGGTCCCGATGCGGGGGCGTGGGCGTAATTTCATTCGCGGACGCTCTCCGAGAGAGTTGACGACGAGCTCCAGAGACGCTCCCATCTACGCGGAGAGATATCGGGAGCCCCGGGACCTATTCTGTGACGTTATGAAAACTACGTGAAGTAGTTCATTCGTACCCGAGAGGGACTGGTTACTCGCAGAGGTACATCGATCGAATATCCCATGCGAATTTTCCACGACTTCGCGGGTCCATTGCCGACCCACCACTTTGACCGCTTTGTCAACCACTCATCGGACCGATCGTGTCGTGGAACGTCACAAGACTGCCTATTGGACGTGTAAGATCGATACGACATCGAACGCCGGAGGTTCCTGAAAGGAACTCCTTGCAGATCACAATATGCGGAGGACAGATTGACCGTTGTGCTCTGACGTCACGACTGCGCGTTCCTTGTACAAATCACTCACGCGGTGGCTGGAAACGTACCTTCTCATCATTTGGTTGCTGTTCTACAAGGCAACACCCATGCCGCGGCTGCGAGTACAAACGCGGAAGTCGCAATGGGAGCTGGAAGCTACGCTCCCGAGAGTAACGGATGGGAAAGCTCCCAGATATCTTGCGACGACTCGTTCGGGACTTCGAGCGGAATTCCATCGGAATCCGCGATGAAAATCGTTTCCCATGCTCAGTCGATGCGAGGTTGTTCTCCGAGACATATTCTTCCCGTGAAGAAACATATGAACCTTGGAAGTGGGCGGAATCTCGGATCAGAGACGACTATTAGGAAGCGCTACGTCCATCGAAGATTTATGTCCTCCAATTCTGACCTCTTGTAGGACCATTTAAAGTTCAGCGTTCATTGTTTGCCGTTTTCCGGTCCTCTCTGGGGCAGTGAGTTTTCCCAACTCGGCCGTTTAGAGGACCGGCTGTGGGCAGCGATAATGTCCCCGAGGCCAGCTTTCCTTCAACAGAGGAAAAAATAACAAATTAAAAATCAATGCTCCCGTCGCTCCTGTTGTTCTCGAGCCGCAGCAACGCGCGAGCTATCCTATCGGGACTTCTCTTGCGAGCGTTTACGATTCGACCTCCATGAATCGGGACTAAGCGACAAGGACCTTTCCTGAGAAGCACGGCGGAATCCCCCTATTCCCCCTATATAATAAAAGCGCTATGTCTGTCTGACACCGGACCACTTTTTAGCGCTCTCCACCTACGAACGGACCCCAAATTTTCCCGATCGTTGCGCAATCACTCCAGTGAGGTCGAGTTATACTTTTCTAACTGCTTAACCGCATGTTTTCCGTGAAATTTACGTGTTTCTCCAGTAATCGTTATTTTTCACAAAATGCAAAGCTGCTTCTATGATGTCATCAGTACTCATCATCTATTGCTTGCATACCCTCCCCCTTTGACAACGAAAAGCAACACTCGATTTTCTTAAGGCTGTGGGGGCGCGAAGCGCCCTCACGGCTAGTCTTGAATATATGTGGACGATACTGAAGAGAAAACGAGGTCTCTGCTTCTCCAAAAGAGCTTCTCATCGGAGGAGCTCTCTTGCTCACACCCGCATATCATAAGAAGCGCCCTCAAGAGTTTTGTAGGCGAATGCATATACTCGACGGCATGCACGCCGTCGCGCCGAGTTGCTTGCCACCCTCATTAAACGTGTTCCTCATAGCACTAAAACCAAACCTATGATCAAATCCATCAGTGTACGCTGGGATCATCATCAAAGCCCCACCCAAGGCGCATGCTGTTGGATTAACATCCAAATTGACCCTCTATGCCTGTAGTTGAGAGAGGGAGCGTGCTATTCATTCTTACCAGACCTATGGCTGCGGGGTCGAGACGACTCGGAGTAGAACGAATCGACTCTGTAGTCGGGAGAGTAGCCGACGGAATTCTGCTCGAAAGTCGGAAATTCCGATTGAAGGAGAAGGGATGAAACTTATCGGAGCCTGATTATTCATGACTTCATGAAAAACATGGTTCCAAACTGAGGAGGAAGTTCAAGGGGAAAGCTCTGCCGTCAGGCAACCCACTTCCGCCAGACCGTGACAGCTCACTCTGGACGTATTGCTTCGTTCGACGCAGAGATTCCAATCTGCAGTTGTTTCAAGTTTCGCTGTCACTGGTTTATTTATTGCTGCTCATGAATTTCAGTCCTGGACAAGCAAGGTGCGACCCACCGAAAGGAGCTGACTCCGAAACTCAAGTCAGAAGCGAGTTCTCTCGGAAATCTCCATTAGGTCTCGCTCAGAAAGCGCTCTTGCAGTGCGACGGTCTCGTTTGTAATAGTCCATGATGGCTGGCGAGCTGGGTGGCTGGCAGAGGGTTAATAGGCTGAAGAAATAAAGGCAGAAAGAGTGCTCCGTAATGAAGAAAGACTCTCCGAGGATTGCTTGCCGGTCGGCTTTATGGACGCGCATTAATAAACTTTGATCTCCGTCACTCGGAGAGATGTAACTCTCATATACAGTCAAGTCTGCTCGGGTCTGGGAAACGAGACGCCGTCTTCTCCGACATATCGGCTTGCAGTCCTCGCTCGGAATGTTTCCGAGGAATTCCTTCCCCGATAACATCTTCCCCAAGCGGGAGAATTGATTCTCGTTCACTGATTGACTTCCATTCGATTTCCAGGTGATAATACTTAGCGAACCCCAGCTGCGAGCGACGATCTGCCGACGAAAGAGAGCTTTCGATAGAGCGATTCAAAGTCTCGGACAACACGGACTGGTGGGGACGTCGGACGATGCTCTCATGAATTTGCACGACGCGCTCAAGGTATACCAACCGCAACCATTAATGCATGCATGCAAACTTTCCCCGTCTGGATGTGAATAATGACCAGGGAGAAAACGACGTTATCATTCAAAGAAACCTGAGAGTCACGGATTTATACGCTTCAGACACGAGATATACGCCAGCTCGGAGCCTCCTTGTCACTCTCATATCTTGAATTTTCAGCTGGAATTCGAGAGAATTCTGTCGCAGTACAAGAGCGCGGTCGGCAAACTCGACGAACTGTCGTTAGCTCCGAAAACTCCGGTTGCGAGATCGTTGTCTCACGGTCCCGCGCCGACGAAGGCTTCTCATCAGCGGCAACTATCTCTGAAACAAGGCGAAATCCAGGAACGACTCATCAAGAATCAGAGCCTGCTCAACGTGCTTTATCCCGCGCTCTCGAATCATCGAAACCTCGAAATTCTTCTCGGCGTTCTCCAACGACGCATTGATTTTGACAAAGACGTTCTATTCCAGGTAAGTCAAAACGAACAGCTCGCCGTAAAGTTTGCCCCTCGCGCCTCAATCATTAGGCCCGGTAGCAACAGCGGGGAGATCGTCGTTTATCGAACCTTGAACGAATCAATCGTCGATCGGGTTGCTCGTGGTCCCTTGTTGCAGCGGGGCGCATGTCTCTCGTTGCTCGATGATTTGTTCCGAGAGCAGGACGCTCTGTGAGAATGAGAATTTGATTCCTCCTCCTTCTAAGCCCATGACCCAGGAGGGAGGTAATCAAATCCTCGCACAGATGGACTTAGCAAAAACATGGCGTGTATTTGCCCGACAAGGTCGAAGCGGCCGCGTCAGAGAGCGCCGTACTGGCGAGGCATCGAATTTCATACACATGGTCTCACAAATTCGTTAATTCCTTCTCTTGGACCAATCTGAACGTGGGTAGCATCTCATCCGCGCACGGAGGACAGCTCCAGGCTCCGGCAGCAGCGGCTGTAGGGAACGCCCACGCCTATTATGGTTGCAATATGAAAACACTAGACCACTCGCCGGATCCCACTATGCGCATCTTTTACCTTGTCTGTTTTTTGGGGGGGAGACGACCCGTAAGCTCGCTCGCCCGACCATGATGGGCGTTGGTTACGGGAAACGGGAGAGAAATGGCTGGTTAACCGAAGCTGCTTTGGTCATCATCGATGTCCACCAACACGACGACCGCCCGCAGCAGCAAAAACAGCGGCTATGATGCCGGCACGAAGGAGTTGCCAATTTTCCGATCCATTTGCTGAGAGCTACGGGGATGTCTGAAAAGAGAGCTCCCCCATGCTTGCGGGGAACAAGTGGAAGAACGCCTCCCGACCTCGATCAGGAACGAGCTAATTCCGTCAGGAGAGACACATATTAGCCAATGAGTACGCGGCTGGAGCGATAAGGATCCACTCGAAGCAACCAGGAGACACATCGTAAATTCCCTCAACTCTTTTAGTGTCTAATACTAGAGTAGGGCTTCCTTTGGCGGAAAATCATTGAAGATCCGTTCGACGGAGATCGCAATTTACGCAGAAGGACATCGCACGTATGCGTCCACGAAACTCTGTCGACATTCATAAGTTCCCCTGACCGCTGAATAGTTGCGCAGCGGAGTCTCGCTTCGATTCAATATCCGACTTGCGGGAAATTAGGTTCAAAAATATTCCTCAATGAGCCTCTTCCATTTTGTCGGTGAGCCAAAGATGAATCCGTCGTATCCACGGCAACAGAGAGTCAAAACAAACGCGCACGACGAAAGCTGGTGGTCCCTTGTTCCATGGCCGTCGTTGCAGGAGCGGCCGGCTGGACGGGCGACCGTCGCCGCATCGATCTGCTAGGCGTTAATAATAGAGAGAGCCTCGTAGACCAGTCGTATACGATGGTATATGGCGAGCCCCGCTCACACCGAGACTTCGTGCAGGATGGCCTGTCGCGCCTTTGTCCGATGGCTTGGTATCCGCGCGTCCCGGCCTAAATGAAGAGGATGTCATCGTCGAATACAATACGCATTAATCGAGTCATTTTCGCCGACGAAGAAGCTTCGGCACTCATTCAAGGGAGCCGCATCGTCAGCTTGAGGTACCTTGTTTCATCTTATTCGACGGAGACCGGAAACGCTCTCGAGCCCTTCTATCTCCAAATTTCCGTTTGCTCCTCTTCTCGCAAACTATCGCTCGGACCCTGTGAATAGCGGAGAATGTATGATTTCAGAAGAGTCAGATACTGTTTCGAACCGGCAGTTCGAAGCGATGCTCCAAGTACCTCACCGACAAATCTTCCAGAGCGCGAAATCGCTCAGCGGTATCGGTCGACTAAGTGACTCTGTATCGCTTTATTCGTTGCGGGCGCGGGCTTGCGAGTAATCGTTGCCTTCGCCGTTGCTACCAACGATGACAACGTCGTCTTTATTGTTGGCTGTTGTCTCTCCGCTCCCACGATATATCTTAACCAGGGCCGAAATACTAAAGAGGAAAACGCGGGAGGGACGATAATGCGACCGGTCTTAGGAAAGGAATGTCTTATTGAGAATGCCATCAAGTCGATGAGGGAAAGTAGGACATGGCGAAGAACGTGAACCGATCCTTGTTTATGATCTCTGAGGAAGACCAGGAGAGAATTCTGCTTGTCCAAATATATGGTATGGCAAATACTGTCGGCTCCGACGCCCCTGTCACCGACAAGCACGCTGCTGGAGCCGCTGTCGGAAAGCGGCAGAATAGCCGAGAGAAAATGAGCGACAGTCTTATTGAATTCTTCCGCGTCCGTCGTTAATTCTCCCGATAATAATGAGCCGAAATGTAGCGTCTCGGAAGACAACGAGCCTTGGCCGCTCGAATTCCTGGCGGAGTTACGCGCGTCATGCCTTGACGAGTTCGTTCTCCGAGCTCTCAGTTGACCTGCCTCCGAGGCTCGCAAACAAGGAATGAGATCGGCGATACTGAATAAAAGATCTAAAATGCATGGACGATGATCGCCGGGTAGCTAACTCTCGAACGAGCCCACCCACATTGAAACGCTCTGGCTACCCCCATGAGAGCGACAGATACGGCAATGAACGTTGGTAGCCTACGGAATCGAGTTTTGAAATATCGATCGGAGCTCTCTGCCTCCCTCAACGATATTCTCTCAGATTCCGATAGCAGACGACGGTCAAGAGATTTCGAATATCGACAATTCCTGAGCCTTTGCAGAGACGTTCGAACTCGAAGCACCGTTCTGTCGTGCTTTCGCGGGGAAGAGGTTCCTCACTTTTTCGTCTCAGCTCCCGATGAATTTGACGTTGGCGCAGCGAGCTCCGCCCGTCCGTGGCGTCAATCGTCATCGGAACCACGAGAAACTTCTTCGGATACTCCGAGGATGTAGAAAATCTCGAGGAGAATTTCAAAATGTGGTACAGTTCTTCGGAACATGGTTAGCACTGAGCCATAGCTCGGTTCCGGACTCTGACGCAAAACACATCATCTAATTAAGACAGGACCCGATTCCTAGACGGAATCCACAGTAGGCTCTCGAGCTGCTTTGGAGCCATGAGCCCGATGACTCGGTCCCCAGCGGTAGAGTACAACAGGTCGAGGAGTTTTCTGGCGTGCCATTCGGTATCCTATATCGGTCATCCCGATCCGTGGACGGTCGCGCCTGGAGCTCCGGGACAGGTCGTACGGCTCTTCTTGTTCTGAGCGTAGCGGCTTCAAAAAGCCAGTCGACCAGCTGGATATTGCTTTCTGAGCAGGCGACACCTCGCTCGAGCTGCCTTCGAGACTCTCGGGTCTACAAGCCCGCGGGCCATCGGTCGCTCAGTCAGGAAAGCAAGTTGCTTTTGTGGAAATTCGTGGCCTCCATTTCCCATATCCGTTCGACATGTGTACGCTTCTGTCTTTGGCTTGTTTTTCTTCGCTCGGGCCGATCGTTTCCACGGTGCGGCCGTCTGCATGAAGACTTTCTCCTGGTATCGAACGGAAGTTTTCTTTTCGGGAGGCGTTTTACCTATTTCTGCCAAAATAAATCGCTTATGAGGAATCTCGCGGAAAAGTGTAGCCAAGTTCAACTTGGACGCCTTGGATTTCTAATTCTGTTGCTTAGGAGGCACTGAGGTCATCGGAGCCGAGTGATACCCCGCGCGGCGGGGGCGTTGCTCGCGGGGAGCGCATGACCTCCTCTCCGCGGATCATTTCGATTATGTTCACTTTGCGGGACAATTATGTCATCGACGTGAGTCGCATAGACATGCTCGGCAGCCTGATTTGGATCCATCGTTGTGGGTTTCGGCTTCGAGCTCCGATTGGATAGAATGTCTACAGAATAAACTGCGCTCGGCCTCAGGGAAACTTAATGAATTGCTTGTCAGGATGAGCCTCTGTCAGTTAGCTCCCTCTCCTCCTGCCGAATCGGAAAGCACACGACACAACTTCGGAATGCAGCAAGATATTTGAGGAAGTGCGTTCAACCACTACTCAGGCCTCGGAAGGTCCGTTGGAATCGAGTGATGTCTCCGACAATCCAGGAGATTCGAATATTCGACCCTCTCAGAAAACGAGGAGTTATTACCGAGGAGCGTTCAGCTCTAATCTGAGAATGTTTGGCCTCTATTGGGAACTCGACGTCCCGCCCCGGGCTCACAGAGCGTGGGATGCCTCGATGCACTCAGGAATGGCTTCGAACTTATGAGCGTCTGTAGACCCACCACGACGACGACGACGGAGAGACAGACCGAGCGCCGAGGAAGGACCGAGCCGCCGACCGAACGACCTAGCCCTAAAGCCAGCGACCTATATGAGCTGATAAGATAAGCTTTACGCCTCCATATAGCTCTACAAAAAAGATATCCCCCGCTTCCCGTAACGCGATACGGTGGCGCCGATACATACTACGAGTGCCAAAATGATTTTGAGGGCGTCAGTGAGGGGGAGTGAAGGGTTTGTGGTATTTTTCTGCCTTCTGAGAGCTTGACGAAGGAATACCCTTGATAACTATCGAAACGCCGGAATTTCATATCGATGTCGAGAGCCCATTAACGAGAGTTCTCAAGGCAGCTGGCTAAATTCATGAGGTCGAGAAACAGGAGAATCGCTCCTGAATTCGCATTCGGTCGAATATCGGAGATGATAAACAATAAGGTCCCAAAACTCCCCGTAGAGGCGTCGGCGACTGCGTCAAGTTCCGGCCCAAAAACTTATCAGTGCACTGCAGGCCAAGCGGACTGGCAGCCAGGCAAGTCGACCTCCGCACTTGGGTCTCTGGGAGCTCCTGCCTCTGCGTCCTCCCACTGGCAGCTCCTTCTAAAAACAATTCTGATCTGCGGTGCCATAAAGACGGTGAGCCAGAGCAAAAAGCGCAATCTGTCAGTGGCTAGCACCGAGCTATGGAATCCCTTGCTCACAGCGAGCGCGAGCTCGCACCCGGTCTTGAGATTCGGAGCCCAGGGAATATCACCGGATCGGTTGGTTTCCGGGATGCTTTGGGGATCCTCTTCCCCTCATCCGATCAATGAGGGCTCAAGCTGTTCGAAACTCAGTGGTTGCAGCGGATCTTCGAGCGCATGGCCTCTTTTCCGTAGCGAATATTTCAGTCATGATCTGAATAAAGCGTTCGTTGTCCTTTCAGTTCACTCAACTCCGGAAAGAGGCGAAGGATGTCGACGGAGATGCATCAGTCGTATCACAAGCATTGATGCGTTATTCCTGGGGTTGTCAGAAGGTCATCGACCTCATGAAAGAAGTGGAACCCCAAGGAAATCCAACATTCGATGATCACGAAGACGACTCATCCACGGACCTCAGTGCAGGTTATCATTCGGACTCGGATTCGAACTGTGCTCGATCGTCGAATTTGATATCGAACAGCAAGAACGTATCATCACAACATGGTGAGTCCTGAGTCCTGATTCCTGATTCCCCTTCAATATGCGGGTCTAGCTTTGGAATTCTCGTTGTTCTCACTGTTTTCCCGAAACCGCGCGATGAGGATCTCGAGTCAATCCTTTTCCTCTTGAACGGCGCCGTTATGCCCTAATTGATCAATGGGGTGAGGACTGAATTTCCAAAATCGATCAAATGAAGACTTCCATGCACTATGGCGTGACGGGAATCATTTCTTTTAATAATTTCTCGAAGATTAAATACGACGTCTCGGTGACCGACGCGGTTTTTTTACATAGTGTCTGCATAGGATCACAAAATATCACATCAGCGAGATTCAATAGTAGCCGTGGTGGCCGGGAGCGGCGAGGAGACCGGCCTTAGCTACGGGAGCGGCGGCATAGGTGAGGGCGGGAGCCGCGGCGACTTTAGCGATCGGGGCCGCATGTCCGTAAGCGGCATAGTGGCCGACAGCGTGGTTGGCGTAAACTGGAGCAGCGGCATATGCGGGGGCAGCGATGGCGTGCTTCGCGACAGGAGCGGCGTAGGCGGCATGGGCGCCGTAGGCCACGGGCGCAGCATATTGGCTGTGGTATGCGGGAGCGACCGATCGAGATTCGTAGGTCACGGACTTGGCGATGCTGGCAGGCGCGGCGTATCCATAGGCGGGGGCAGCAATGGCAGCCTTAGCGATGGGAGCGTTGTAACCGCCGAAGAAGGGGGCGGCAATCGCTGCCTTAGCGACGGGGGCAGCGTATCCGTAGGACGCTACGGGAGCGTGTGCGTAAGCCGCGACGGGGGCATGTGCGTAAGAGGCGACAGGGGCGGCGACGGCGGCCTTAGCGATGGGAGCGGCGTATCCATAGGAGGCCACCGGGGCATGAGCATAGGAGGCGACGGGAGCGGCCAGAGTTTTGGCGGCATATCCATAGGAGGCGACGGGAGCGGCGGCCACACCGTGAGCGTAAACCGGGGCGGCAGCTACGGCATGTCCGTAAGCGGGTGCGGCATGAGCGTATCCTCCGACAGCAACTCCACCGGCATTGGCAGCAGCCACCAGGGAAGCGAGCGTGATGAACTGCGGCAGGGAAAGTCAGCGAGATTAAAAATTATTCGATCTCAGATGAATCATTAGAGAATGAGAGACGTCGATAATTTCCGCGATGGCGTCCGATCGAGCACCATTTGCGACCACGACATCGGAGATCAGGATTCGGAAAATGAATCGGAAATTGCAAAACACGCATTTGCAGCGTGCAAAGAGAAACATCCAGCGAGTCCAACTCCGAGACATCGACCGCTAGATGCGGAAGCATGTATACTCGACGGTGAGCTCTCGGAAAGCGCCCTCCAATACTCACAGTGCGCATTTTTGCTCAGGTCACGTCGACTCACGTTCTTGATGTTGGCGCTATCGGTGTCCATATTTATGTAGTTTCCACCTCTCCACCCACCGTTCCCCCAAGATCAATGTCAGAAAGCGGTCGGATCGCTGGAAGTTGGGATCTGGCGCGCGGCAAAGCGGATGTTAAACGGATCGTGGGAGAGGAAAGATAAAACCGGAGCTATACCACTGCTGGCGATTTTTAATGATTATCTGATAGGATACCAGAACTTATCCAAATCACCCGATGCATTCATTCACTTTCGAGGAGCGTGAGAGCTTACCGATTCGGAGATCGAAGCTTCGGAGACTGGCATCTCACTTGATGGGCTTGATGTTCGGAGTTTATCCTGAACTTCGGTCGTGGGAGGGGTAGTACTACCGCCCCCGTTGACATTGGTGAATAATTTTTGTAAAGGGTCACCTTCAACCAGAATATCAACGGCTTGATAAATCATCAAAGATTGGGCTGCACCTTCTGATTCCGAAATACGGAGAGCCATTATTTGATTGATTGATGGATTGACTCACTTAGTCTATTGCGACTATTTTCATCGGAAGCTCATGCAGGCGAACGCTCTTGGTATTCAGCTCGAGAAGAACTCAGAGGAGTAATGAATGACCTCGCCTCAAGCCGTGGATTTCCCGATTTTTCGCACAATAGCGTCCGGCGAAGGTCGAGGTGGCAGGAGCGTGCAAGGCCCGTCGAACCTGCAGGCTCAGGAAACTCGAAAGCGACAGATGTGTATTGATGGAGAGTTAACCTTCAGTTCGGAAAGTTCCTGTTTGTCAGTTATTCTTTTGTGTCGTCGTCATCGTTCTTAAAATCATCATCAACGCCGTAATAAAGAGTCTCACTCAGTCACTCGATCGACTTGATCTGTGTTCGGGGTAGCTGCTGCGTTCGAATCCCTTCTGGGCATCGTTTTATAAATCCTGCAATCGTCGGAATAAGCTCCCTTAATGACAACAAGCCTTGGTTACATCTCATTATTCGGGAACTGCATCGGTACCACGTCACGCGCTTCGTAACGATGTGCTCGTCGTTTCTTTTTTTTTTCATTGCTTCCAACCTATAATCGTCATTCGTAATTGTCATCTAATTGCAGAACGGCTTTCTGTTGTGCATTATCCCGCCGTCAGTCGGGATCGAAGCTTCAGTATCTCGTGATTCATTGATTTATCTTTTCGTTTGTTCGTTCGACGAACGACGAAAACGAACATTCTGTTGTTTTTGAAAGGTACTGAACGGCGAGCCGAGCCTTTTCAACGGTTTGCCGAATTCCGTCTGTCTTGACATGGGCACGGCGGTCAGCTATTGTCAATTATAATTCTCTCGCCGGTGTATTTAGCCGATGGCTGTGGAAGCGAACGAAAATCGCCGCAAGCCGCTGACACAAGCAGCGGGTAAGCGACTCGACTCGCTTCAGGCTCACCTAGGGTTCAATTGGAGCTCCGACCTTGTGTAGTAGTTCGCTCCACCAGACCTTGTCATCGCTTATTTTCATCATTGCATATGCGGATATCAGATTCACAGAAACCGATCATTGCCTCGAGTGGATCGGGCCATCACTGTGATCGCCGCTGTGATCGTACGAGTTGACAGAGCGATGACGATTTTTCACCGTGAGTCATCTAATTACCGCACATATCCAACAGTTGAAAGTTCTTCATGCGTTCGTCAAATATAGATCGACACTCGATGAGATCAAGGTCCCGGCTTTTTTTTAATGCATTGCTCGCTATCCAGACTCGCTAGGGCACGAGCCGAGTTCGGAGGTTCCATCCTACCCGGGGACAGTTCCCGATTGCGAAAAATCAGATAGACAGGGATCAGGGATGAGAGGGTCATCAAAACGCCGTCATCTGCAAGCTTGATACTCTCGCACTTGGCGCAACCGGCACGTCCACGCTTTAGGTTCTTGGGCGCTCGAGAGGGTGAGCTTGAGAACTTCGCTCGGAAGGCTTCGGACGCGCATGTAGGGTGGCTGGGTGGCGGTTGGTTGGCTTGTCCGTTAGTCTGTCTGTCTACTTCGGCGACTTTTCCTCTCTGGGCGCTCGCCCGCCGCTCAGCGTAGAAGCGGGTGCCGTTATCTGGAAGGCGCACACCGCCTCCTGGGAATGGAGTCTCTCCTTCCTCCCTGTCTGTGGAGAAGTCATCTGGGAAGCATCCATTTGAGGAGAATTCCAAATGCAACGAACAACATTTTCTGTCGACTGTACATACGACCACCTCGCTACCTATCTCAGCTCATCCCCTTCCCGATCGCGTTGCTGATTGTGAACGTTCCACAATTGACTGAGAGCGGGTTTTCGGGGCAGGATTCCAAGCGAACGACGGGCAAAGCGGTCACGATGGTCTGCTTATCGTATTCGGCTTCGCAAGAACTATATTGACGCAGTTTCGGGCGGGAGATGGCCCAACGGTCCCGTACTTCTCGGGCGGGCGTCGATTTTGGGTCCCTAAACCATGGCCGACAAAGCTTCAGAGCCCAAACCCCGCGCATGGGCTTCGTGTAGTTCCTTGCGGCGGTACCAGCGGGAGGCTAGGATGGAAGGAGTCAGGACGTCGCCAGGTCGATTCCTAGGACGCCTTCCAACGTCACGTGGATGCGTATCCGTAGTGTCTCCACAGAACCCGAATTCCTCGGGAATACTCGGGATCGGGATGCTAGAATCTGTCGAGAGTGAGACGAACTCACTTCTCGTTTCGATGCCGCCCACGGGAAGGAACGGAGAGTAGCGAGCACCTGAGGGGAGTCGGAGTTTCTCGCACGAGACAAGCAACTCCCGAGAGCTGCTCCTGAGGAGAGAAGAAATATTTCGCCATTCATCTCTTATCTATCCCTTGTTTCGGGAACCGATTGTCGTCGCAGCCGTCGACACTGTCCGCTTCTATTCTCCCCTAGTTTGGACAAGCGATGATCATTCCTGATTTGACGAGAAATGTCGTTGCTGCTGCCGCCGCTGCTACGTTGTCGTAGTCCGCGAACAGACAGGACAAGCCATCTGTGCCAGTGGACTACGGCGCTCGACGAGTCCCTCGGGACAGCGACCGCGCGGTTGACTTCGGATTGAAGCCTTTGTTGGTTGTCCAACTCAGCTCACCTCACTCGCTCTCGCAGTCGCTTTTTTCGTCAGGTTGATTCGCCGTTGTCGACACCGAGTTTTCCCTTCTTTATATTTGCTCTTTTCCCGTTGACAGACTCCTTTGTCGCCGCTGATTGAAAGAGCGCTCCTTGCAATCTCCCGGATTCGGAGCGACTCTGTAAACTGCAGCGCTCACCAACTTCGTCGGCTTCCGTCAACTCCAGGGCTCTGAAATTCCAGTTCTGTTCCCAAATACTGCTTTTTCTTAAGGAGCAGACTTTCAGGAAGATCAAAAACCCTAGGCCTTGTCTCCGGCTCCTCAGGACCTGGTCCTCGAATAGTGGGTTTAGCTGCGAGGGGATTCGAGAACTTCTGAACCACGTCCATCGGCGCAGCAGTCTGGGAATTAATCGATGGCCGGCAATGAGAAGCACATTGACTGACATACGTTTATTGACACTTGCTTGAGCTGAATCCGAGACGAAAAGCTAACCAAGCACTCACCGAGCGCTTACAAAATGAAAATTCGCCAATAAACGCGTGCGCCGATACCGTCGACATCGGGAATCGGAGTCGGCAGCGACGACGTGACCATCATTAAGTGAGTAGTATCAGAGGAATCATGTGCTTGTAATGAGAGCAATTAGTCCCGGCAAAAAAATGTCTCCGGCTACCGGATTAATTGACTCGAGTGGGGCTTCTTCTGACGAAACCCCTAGTCAGTCGGCTCAACGTTAGCGTATTTTCCATGAAAGTAAAAAGACGTCGACTACCTCTTGGTTGCTGTGCTTCCAGTCAATGCACCGTCCCGACTTGCTGCAAGATCAGGAAAAATCGGAAAGCTCAGACAGACATTGAACGTCGTTCTCTTATGTCGGTTAACGTCAACGGAATCAGTTTCGAATGGGGAAGAAATATACATACATATGTAGCTGCGAATTCTTTCCTCCAAGCATTTATTATTCTCATTCGTTTTGGAAGATTTCGCATGGAAAAATATCAGTAACTCAGATTCCTTGTTTCCGATTCAGTTTCTATGGAGATATTTCTCCGCGGAGGGAAATTCGCGCGCGATGTGAATCCGACTCATGGACGGACTGGCTGAAAACTGGATTAGTGGTGTCAAGTCGGAAGTCCGATTCCGAAAGTTGCTTCTACATCGGGACAAAAAACGTAGACAGTGTTTCGCAAAGAACTCAAAGCGAGGGTGCGGAAAAAGCTGGATGACTCATGGCGAGAGAACATGGTCACCAAAGCCACATTACGTATATGTCGGCAAGCTAAAGACAAAAGGGGAGAGTAATATATACGACAACACGCGAGGCAACCGACTCCTGGCGCATGCAAGGGAAGGAATGCTCAACACCAGGAGTCGGCAACACGCCCGAGACCCTTCGATCGACGAGAGCGGTCCCAAGTGCGGAGCCCCAGACACGGACACCCACATCGTTCTAGAGTGCGAGGAAGGAGGATTCGACTCACAAGAGTTCTAGTACCGACTCGGACTTCACCCTGGTATTACCACGAAAGATCTTCGGAGGACGAAGAATACCTCGTTGCCTTTCAATTGAGGTGATCTCTGCGCGATGAACGACAACGACCGTCCTCGAGCAAATCGGGGTGTTCGGTTCCAACTCCTTGAGTCGAAAAGCACATACACATTTAGTGGCCCATTGGTAACTGGTGACGGGATGTTTTTCCGCCGAACATCTATACTCAAGCCCTGTGGCTAATCTTCCTGCCATCAGTGCTTCCTGTAGCGTCGGTATCCTGTGTATGTACGTGCGTGTGTCATTAGTAGCAACGCTCGAGGGGTCTATTACGCTGTGTTGTCTGACGCTAGCCTACGGACGAACTCGCAGTGATTTCGAGCCAAAAAAAACCCGGCTCCGTTCGGAACATAATTTCAAACTTTACCCCGTGAGAGCATCGAATGCGACTGAGGGAGCAAGCCCGACCCCATTCTGGCCTGACCCTTGATCAGGGAAAATTCGCCTCTTCCGAGATGGACGTTCAGTAAGCCCTCGTTTTTTTGCGATCAACGGGTTCCGAAGTCTCCCGCGAAACTCGAGCTCCCTCAAGTTCGAAGTATTTTTTTCGGGATTGTTCAAGTATTGAGGAAATGTCGGAAACACTTCTCATGCTCTGAATGTATGCAAACTAACACGAGTTTCTCCCTGACGAAGAGTAACACCGAGCACCACGTACTCTCCGTTGAAACACGCCTCGCGATGAGAAGCGCTCAATCGACTATGTTTGCACACGAATCTCATAATTTTATTGGAATAAGTTGATGACTTTCACTTACACAACAGAACACAAGATTTCCCTCCAATATGAGTCCGCAAGCACAATCGTTCGTTGCTTTCCGATACGCGCTCATGTCGGCACGTAATTATGATACGAGGTGTTCCGCGGATCTTTCGAGATTTCTATCAACTTCTCATGATATCGGATGCATTCGCGAAGAGCGGATCTTAATCGTGGGAATACGGCGGATGATATTGACATTCATATAACTAGTAGAACGAGAGCTGCGAATTATTGAGTATCGTTATTGATATCATACAGCGAGGGCTCACAACCTCCACACATCCGCGTATTCTAGAAACCGCGAAAATACAACCACGAATAGTCCGGGGCTTTACTGCACTCGGATATGCTTGGAGTTCGAGGGTTCTCCACTGATGGCCATCGCTTGTTAGTGATGGCATAGGTGGAGTTGTGCACGAAGAACTCGCTGCTGGAGGCTGTATTGCAGTCCCGAACATCCCGAAGGTTTCGGACGAGGTTTTTTTTCTAGTGGGGCAGCAGGCTGTTTAGGCTAGCTCAGAGCCCCCATGGAGTTGTATAGCTACAACAGTTTGACCTCGAGGTTAGTTGGAGATAGCAACTCTAAGTGATTCCCGATTAAGGGTCCCCGAGAGGTTTCATAGAGACGGTGTCTGCGGCACCTGCTGCCTCCGGGAGCGGCAGGGTGATGCCCGACTGAGGCGCAAACACCACTCGGCGGAACACTTGCGCACAATTTTCTCGCATTCTTCCGGATCTCGTACACACCTCAGCGACTCGCTCCGGAAACGCTTATCTACGGCTGACATGTTACAAGCCAACTCGAGCGGCACGCTCGCGAACTTAGCCGGGGCTTGCCTCTCTATCGCCACTCCCATTCCCCTTCAGAGGGTATGTGAACCTTCCACGTATGCGAGGACTTCATGAAATCAGAGGCGGACTCGAATCGTGGCTTGTAAGCACATTGCGTGCGGCGTCGGCTTAATGTTGCTCTGATTGAGGTAATCGTCAAATGAGAATGTGGCAGCGAAGCTACACGTCCAACGTGGCACGAGGGCGTTAAACGAATAAAACCCAGCCACTTAGCTCGAGCTCCTAAGCGATTCTAAATGAAACTGCTTACCTCCGGCTGTGAAAGGAACATCAACTACAGGAGAATCAGCGGCAGGACGACTGGTGGCGGCAGCGGCGGCCGCTGCGCCGCTACAACAACAACAGGAGTGGAGATTGTTGTTGCTGCTGTTGTTGCTTTCGCCGGCGCGGTCGTGAGAGCAGATGCCCAAATAGCTCCCTGATGTCCTAAGTTAGCGAACGAAAGCTGAATTAACTGCAGCAGCACCAGTCAGCGAAAGGCATCATCGTGCAACGTGCGAGCCTTATCTTAAAGTTAGCCGCAGTGAACGAGATAAAGAGTCATGAGAGAGGAAACGCAAGCGTTCGTTCGTCGGCTCACTCACTTAATGTAGATTAGCGACCTATCCAGTTAGCTAGGAGCCAGTGAGCGCGCTCGCCGGTCCGTGCGTCTGCGCGGCGAGCAGCTATTCAGACGGCTCACCTACGTGCAGCGGCGGGGGCGGTAGCCGTCGCGTCCGTCGTCGTCTGGCGATAGAACAGAAGCAACAGAAGGGATCTGCAATTAAAAGTACGCCTGGCTCGCTTACTTTCGGCTAAGCAGTCAGTCAATCGGGCAGGCAGTCCGGTACTCCTTCCTCCTGAGACTGAGTCCAGGGTTAATGAGCTAGCCCTCAGAGTAGCCTAACGAACGTCAGAGACTTTCAAATTCCCCGAGCTTGTCTTTTGTTCTTCTGCTCGCTTCCTCCAACCGTCTGCAGCCCGGACGAACGTCCACTTCGGAGCTCCGGCTCGAATTATTCTGCGGTTTGCCAAGGCATGGCTGTTTCCTTCGGTATACGAACGGTGGGAGTTCCGGGTTGGGTTCAATTCGCTCTATTAGAACCGCGGCTCGAGCACTCTCCTCCATACTAGAAATTAGATGGTGCTCGCTCATCAACTCATCACAGCTATCCGCGAACCCTCTTCGAACCTCTCTTCCGATCTATTCGCTGGTTTCTGGGTGTGAAAATGATTCCTTTGCTTTTCAGGGAGTGGTCCAAGCCCATCGAGCCGATCAGCGTCGTCGACAACCCCTGCCGTAGCATGGGATCCACCTAATGTACAATCAGAACTCGAGGCCCTGAGACTCGAACTCGAAAAGGCGCGACAGACCATCAATAGTATGCAACAGAACGAACAACAACTCAAACAACGGTGAGTTTCTCCTTCTTTCTCCAGTTTCGGATTCCGGAGGGATGATTCGAAGAGCCGTGCCAGAATACCACTCATGAGCGGTAGAGGAGTGCGAACCCGTCCCGTCACATACCAATGCATCGATTCCGTCGGAGCGACGCTTGAGAACGATCGTGGAATCGCTGAGAACGACTGGCGTCGGAGCTCGTTCGCTCCCGACAAGATATATGGAGCCGTGGCGAGCGACATCGTCATAGTCTCGAATTCTGAGGTTCTTGACTCCGCTCCCCGTTCGTCCTGTCCGCTCCCCGTTCGTCCTGTCCTTCTGGCTATATACTCCCGAATTTATCAGCCTTTCGATAGGGAAACTATGCCGCTGACTCCCAATCATTTCGAGAAATTCGAGTTTGAGCACTGGCTGTGATGCTGAAGTAGGTATACATAGATCCCGGGCAGGCGAGTCATCACATTGGTCGTCTGCCTCCCCCGACCCCCACAGAAATCCTGTCCGCCAGGCGTTCTACTAACTGGAGAGTTCTTGCTTGAAGATTGGCGGCGGCTCCGGACGCTCCACGAAGCGGCTCCTCGGACAAGAGTTCTTCGGCGAATTGCACGTTGGACAAAAGACCTTCAGCTCTCATTCGGCGTTATGGCTCTCTTTACGCGCAAGCGAGAATCGACACTCTCGATGCACTCGAAAAACTCCCACAGCTTAGCGATTGCGATGAGCTGAAATCCAAACTGCTGTTTTCTGTTGTCGTGGTAAGTATTCGCTGTTATCATCGGAACGAATGGTTCCTTCCGCGTGACCGGAATTGCCCCGGGCCGGCAGCCTTCGATTTACGTCGCGTAGGATCGTCGCCCATTCTCGTCCGACAATGCCCGATTATTCCGACTTCTGACACATTTCTGATGATTTGCAGCTCGCATTCCGGTCCGTACAGAACACCATAGCTGACATGAAGAGCCAGGTGAGGAGAGCTCTGAGAGTCAAGGATGCCGCTTCTGATCCTTACGCTGAAGATCTTGAAGCTAGCGTTGAACTTTATCTTCGAAGCAAGGCTGAAGACTTCGACGTAACGAAAAACATACAAGTGAGTTACCAGCGTTCAGGTGTTCAAAAAGTTCATAAGACCTGAATAACTACTCGTTTAGCTGAAAATGAGCTCTCGCCACGAACTCCGCATATATCTCCTACCCACCGAACGGCACGCTACTGGGGCGCGTCATTCCCTATATTCGAATCTCGCTCGTCAAATCTGGTTCAAACTCTTCTAGGATGTCTGCCAACAAATACTAGCAACACTTTACGACTACCCGTGTCTGAAAGACTGTCGAGGTTTGATCACCTACGTGGGAGACAGTGTGAGGTTGGCTTGGGCCTTATCAACTCAGACACCTCCCTACAGGTGGGTAATCGGTGTACGGCCCCCGTCCTGGTCGAGCAACTCTGAGCAGCCCGATCGCTATCGAGCGCAGAGAGTCGACGTCGATTTCCACGATATCCGTCCGTTGCCCCCTCGTTCCCGAATAAGCTTCGCTCAACGCTGAAATCATTCGAATTTTCAGACTGGAGTTTGAAACCCGCACATTCCGCTCAGACTACCACGTGCGATTCCACTCTTCGAATCAGAGTTCTGAACACATCCGTACCTACCTGTGGCCAGCGCTGATGGAAGCTGAAAATGGACCTTGTGTACACAAAGGAGTAGTTATCACATAGACTCGTGTGACTGCGATCATCTTCCGACTTCCGACCAAACCTGCATACATACACGTAGTGGACACGACAAGCATACACACAATCGAGACGGCAAGGGAAATACAGACATATCTTACACTACGTTCACAACACTTGCCTTAGTTGCCTCTCGTCTGAACCTTAATCGAAGACAGGCTCACCTCTTGCTCCGAGAGAACGAATACTGTGGCGCTGGTTCAGCTTGTTGTACATAGCCTGTATGCTTGCTCCTCGATCGCGGTTGAAGAGCAGTCACTCACAAGTGCTTTGTTACCGGTTCGTTTGTCGCATCTGATTATAACATTACACGGACGCATTCGTTGACGCAACGATCGTGATGGAACTCCTCTAACGTTGGTTCAACAAACAGCTACAAGTATGAGACAACGAATCACCATTTTCTGGAACGCTCAGCGAACCTTGTAAAATATATCATTTATTATTATCGAATTACCTCTCGAGGAAACTCATCATCATAGATTGTCGTTTAGCCCGGAGGTTCCGACGGAAAGGAAGGTGAATTTCTGACGGCGCCGGCGTGCTTAGATCAGTCCGGGCTGAATGGAATGAATACACACATACCTATCATGTTACCGTTGCTGGATTTATCATGCTCGGACTCGATGACGAATCGCCGTAGATCGGACAGCCATACATAGATGGGAGTTTTTCGCTTCTTCCGCCGGGAACTCTACGTGCCTCTACTGGAAAACTTCGCGCGGGTTTCGTCTTCCAGCTTACCGGAGTTGGAACTTCTGTCCGATTCCTCCACCGCATACACAGTGCCGTGTACATACATTCGAGATTGGGTGACGTTCGTAACAAATAGACAACCCAGCCCGAAGATTACGTGACTCATCGACTCCGGCGAACTCGGGCGATACGTCTATCACGGTGCCCGAGATCCTCCAGCCACGGGCACGTTTTGTCAAATATCAACCTACGTACCAAGGATGCACCAATAAAAAGAGAGAAATAGCTTATTTCATGAATTACCGGCTACGCTCTCTTCAATTTGCCGAAGATGGTAGGCATTTTATTCCTTCCGACGGCGCGTCCGTCATATCACGCGGCTCGCGGCGCAGAATCCGCTTAATTTAGAATTATCTTATATTACGCCCATCTCAGGGAAACCTATGCCGATTATTTTTTCTGATTTGTTCGAAAAAGCTCAGTGCCGGGAGCTTGCTTGATTTGTTTTTTGAAATGTTTCAAGCACCTCAAAGCTTGTTGTGGTGCTGCTTTCGTCAGAAGCACTGAGATTAAAATTGCCAGTTTGAAAGAATTCAGATAACCCATGAATTGTCCGAAATATAACAAAGACAAAGCACTCATCCATACCGAGACCGAAGCTGCGCCGCCACGTAGGGATACTACATTTATGCCCACGGCGGCTAAGGAAATGCTCTTCTGGAAAACTATACACATCCGTATCGATATTCGAGGGAGCGCTCGCACTTTACATCGGGGCCTGAATATTTTCGGGGAGTATATGTGCAAAGCCAGGAGCACTGTCGAGAAGACAATCGTCAAAATCGTCTCTAAGCTCGAAACCAGGAATATCACTAGAACCACGATAGGTAGGTGTCGACAAGTGTCCAGGGTACTTTTGAGAAATTGCAGCATGAGTTCTGCCGCTTGGCAAACGTCATGAAACATAGATAAGGTGTCGTGGAAGAGTGGGAGCAAGTGAGCCAAGAGATGCATCTTTTTCTGGAACGGTGTTTTAGATTTTCTCGTCTTTTTCACGGGTCTTCTCAACCTGTATCCAATGCGATGACTGGAGTTGCTAGAGGCGAATGAAGAATATCCGTGATTCCGGTATCCATTGCGTCCTCGGGATGAGGCTAGAAAGTTGAGAGGAACTTATAAGGGGGCGGGTTTGAAAATAATTCCCCTCTCTCAATGCTCAAGCTCAATGCGATTCCCGCCGAGTCGACAGCTGAAACTTTGCCATTCACTAACTCCAGCAGGGACTCAGACGGCAAGACGGAGAGACTCATGGAGATCCATCCAACAGAGGACGCGAAGTTCCCTGAAGTACTCTCGCACAATATGTTGGGTTCGACCTTTCCTCGAATCGTAACCCTCTCCTGCGAAAGCCTCGAATGCGTTCTCGCAGGGTGCGGATCTCGAACCTTCGGAGTCGTGATGAGTCCGAGGGCGGATCACTCTGTGAAGTGGTCCGAATGACTCCGGATCAATACTCCAGAGAGCTTCATGATCAGGGAAACGAAGTCGTACGCCTGGAGTCACTATCATCACTGGGCCTCAAGTCAAGTATGTATGAAGTCGGTGATCTACTCACTTGAATGTATGGTTTCGTGTAGTTCCGCTGGAGGTTCTAGACGAGCAGCTTCGGACACCACCAACTCCGGAACAGTTATGTGTTCGATTGGCGGGAGTTCGATCTCGATCTCTGGAATGCTGCGAATCCGTTCCAGTTTCTCCAGAGATGACTGGGACTCCCTCCGAGTCGACGAGATCGTTCTCTTTTTCACCTTCCTACGAATCGCCCCGATGAAATGAGCCGGTAAAAGGAAACGGAGACGCATTCTGATTCTCGAGCTTTTCGAACTCAGGCACTATTTACGCACATGTTGCGTAGTAAGAACACTGCCACACGCCGCCGTGACACGAACGTCGCGGAATACTATCGGGAATATCGAAGACTGAGGGGTGTCGCATATCAGCGGGAACGAGCTCCCGGGCAGTCGATGGAAATGGATCTCTCCCTGACAGTCTCCCAACTGGATCGCTCAGCTGTCGATCGACTGAGTGATGGTCGCGGGAGCTATTTGCGGTCTCAGACTGTAGCTCCAAGGCTCTCCGATCGGGGCGCCAACCCTTCGAATACGTTCATCCATCCATCCATTCGTCCAAAGCTCGATACGGAGCGATCTGATCCCTACGGACGAGCGTTCGAGGGAGGACGGATATCAAAGCAGACTCAGCACTTATCTCCCGATTTTCGATCGCTTCCGACGGGATCTTATCGACATTGCCCCTCAAGCTTTCCACAGAGGAAGAATTACTATTCCTTCCATCCCCCAAGCCTCATCGCAGCGCACCCCGAGTCCATTCGCTGTACGGGATGACGGTTCGCTGATAGGCGCCTTCAAAGAATGAGACAATGATTTAAAAGCGTCAGCTCGTTTAAAAAGCGCTTTTATATTTTCCCTTGCTTCCTCGCTCTCATCTATCGGAAGACGCGCTCCCAAGTTTTCTCGAATAGGCTCCGAAGAGTATCACTATGAACAAACTCCAAGGCGTATCTATCTATCTGGATAAAGCTCAAGCTTCGCTGGATATTTACAGAACAGATTCACCATCAAAACCGAAATCCTGATTTTGAAAGATCTTCCTTATCTCCCATGGGCTTCCCCCATTAACGGCACCCCCTGGTTGCTGACGAATGTTTGTGAGCTTCCTGGAACACTGGTGGTCGAGACGTACTCAGGAGATTCCAATGGTCATTTTTCAAACCCAACTCCGGTCCTGTGGGAGCTAATCTTCGTCTTCGATCAGTCTTCTCTCCTGAATCTCCGCCGATTCTGTGCTCTCGTAGCCGGGTAAGCACGGAATCTTTATGATACGATTGTAAATTTTCATTCCCAACACGAGTACGAAGAAGCCAGCCAGCGTCAACGGAATGAATGATTGCCATTTGAAGAGCACTGTGAATGACCAAATGACGATGATGCGAACAGAATCCAGAACCATGCGGGTCGTTGCTGAAATTTCTTTCGTGATTGACACTCCAGCGAAGTTGAAGAAACTAATCGACAGTACGGTTCCGAAAAAACCGCCGGCGATTTGCGGCGAGTTGTACATTTGGTAGAGTCCGTCGATCGAGTCCTCTATCGGAGCACCGTGATAATGGATGAAGTTTAGCGGTATGAGGAGCATTCCCATGCAGAGAATGCCGAATAGACCTTCCCAGCCGACGGCTTGCAGAGGAGGCACATTGCTTCCAACGACGAATTTTTCTTCTAGGACCATCTGGGTCGCTGTGACTACCTGAGCGCACACAATCAGTACATCACCTAAAAATCAGGAAATGCATGCCGTCATCCCTTATGCTCCCCCCGATCATCGCCGATCAAATATCAATTGTGTTGGAATGTCGGTTCGATGCCATCTCGAGCATGACCGGCACCCGCCAAGAGATCGACTCCTGCTTGAGAACGTAGGGACGAAGCTTACCCAAAAACACATTCGGAGCTCCCGAAGTATTCCCACCGTAGACTATATCAGCAGCTCCCACTATCGCTAGACCTACGAGAACAAAAAGGATGCCGATCCACTGGAACAGGCGCACCTGTCTCTTCAGGAAAATCATCGAGAAGAGTCCAGTGAAAAGAATAACAGCACCTAAAAAAGACCAGAGCGTGTGTCAAGATCACTGACGAGATTGCCCCGACTCCTGACTAAAGGACGGGTCGGAGGAGCCTCAACCCTACCGTCTCTTGCACATATACCATTATCGACTTGTGAATATTCTCTCACCTCGGAACATCTGCGCGGAAGATGCGAAGGTGAGGGTGAGACCAACGTACATAGTCGTCGTTCCGATCATATCACAGAGAGTCGGGGGTAGGAATATCAGTGGGTTGAAGGTGCGGCTTCCCCGGAGTACGGAGGGGATCGTATCTTGATCTTCATCCTCCCGTCCATTCCAGCCCACGTATCTCCATAAAAGGAGTTTGAAGACAACGAGACATGTGAACTCTCCAATGAACATTCCAAGCGCCTGCGGAAAATAGAGGATCGAACAATTCCTGACAGGAATCCCAATGCGAGTAGCTCTTTCGGAAATTCAATTTTAAGCAAAGTTCCGATCGCATGTTTTTGTTTCCTCAAGGCCGAATCGACGAGGGGATTGCGCTCTCATCTCTCGAGAAGCTCTCATACCTGCAAGAAGGCATGTTGGAAGGTGTGAGGAGTCAAAGTGCTCGTTCCGTTGCGCATGACGCCATCGGGTCGACCAGGAGCAACGCCTCTATCCGCCCATCTGGTCGAAGAAAGGGAGAAGATGATTAATATTCGGGTACGATGATCCTGCTGACGATTATAAGTGATTTTTCCACATAGGGGAGCCTTCTCACTTCGTCGCGAGAGTGTTGATCGAGCCGGTGAAGACCAGTAGGCCGGCCAGGAAAAATTGATAACCAGTCCAGGCCATAGCGATAAGTTAGACTTGAGTCTGAAATGAATGCAAATCGCGATAGAGTCAGAAACTTCCGGACGCGTGCCACGACATGGAGTGCGGCCCTATCCGTAGTACGCGCCCAGTTCTCGCGGCGCAATGAGAACGTCGAATATCGAGATCACGAGGTGAAATTCCGATCCGTTTAGATTCAAGCATGTCCAACAGAATGTGAGTCATAGAGGCCCGATCGGGGAGCTACTCCGCGCGATGAATAAGCCACCATCTCGCGTGAAATGCTCGCCCTGAACGATTTTACTTTCTTGATGACCTCTCCTAGGAAATCCCGCGTAAAATTCGAGAAAAGTATTTCTCGGACATGTCGCGACGCATCGAAATGGGTATTTCGGGTCGCAGAGACGATGCGATGCCAGGCCAGCTGGCGCGGGAACGAGAGCTTGCTTCCCCATAAGCCTGGTATGAGAGAGACGCGCAGTTATCAGGCCGTTACTCGGAACAGTGAAGCAGGGTGACAATTCGGGAACAGAACACACATGTGTCACAGACTTGGATGCCCATGTCTCGACGGGGAATTCTCATGAAAACCATAGTGCTTCAGGGACTCTGTCAGGTGGTTTTCAAGATCTGACATCGCATGGTGGGACCTGCGAAAATATTTCCTCCTCCTGGACGCAAAATCCATGGAACTCGGGTCCCTTCTCGCTAGTATGGAGGCATCAAAATGAAATAAGGATTCCAACCGAAAAAGGCCAGCGTCAGCGTGCGAGGTTTCGGAGGCATGGAATTCACTCGATTCCAGAAAACGGACTCCCACCGACACATCAATTAGCTCAGTTCGAGGGATTCTTGATAAAAATCTAGGCAATTCTACAAAGATCATCGATGAAAGGTTGTTCACCTGCTTATCGATTCTGAAGTTGTGAAACTCCTGGTTCCTCTCAACGACTGATCTCCGTCAGTGCCATGTACGTCAGAACGGGGGTCCCAGCTGTTTCGAAACGTTTCACGAGACGAGTCCGTGTCTGGGAGTTCGGGGAGTGAAGAAGCTTCGACGATTCACTATTCAACGGAGTTGGATCATCGCCCTAAGGCTTTCGTGGGAGATAAGGAGGAAATGTGTTATTCTTTGACAGACTCTTCAGATGGATCCGATCTCGATTTCCTGCATTAGAGATATTGTGTACAGATTCTGCGGATCAGAAGTTGCAATAAGCATCAGGCACTCGTTTCATTCGACAGCTTTCGGGTCGTTCCTCTCTGCCAATGACCGTTCCGACGAGAGTGTGAATCACTTCTGCTATGATTCGGCGTTGGGGGAACAAGGCGGTTTTGGGACCAGCTACCCCCGCATGGCTTCCATCTGTTTGCGGACAGGTTCCTGGAGGTTCAGATTCTGTGGTAGTGACGAGAGCTCACAAAGAGATCGTTCGCCTTAGAGCCAAGAGGATGGACAACGGAGAGCTTTCGCGCTATGAGAGCGAATCGGAGAAGCATCCCGTCGTAGGAGTGGAGGGAACCGGCGATAAGAGGGGCGAGACAGCTTGTGCGGCCCGATAGTCATGATCTCCTGACTTCGGAGAGTGAACGAATTCTTGCGTCTCGTTCAGTCAATGAGCCTAATACGGTCGATCTCATCGCGGTCAAAGCAACTTGTATACCACCTAATCCAATAATTCTTCGCCATGCTCGCATTAGTCCATCCTCTGTGTGTACGCGAACGATTGAAAACCGAACGCATTTATCCGTCACATATTGTGATTTGATGGTGATTCCGTCAGTGATAAGTGATAACGATTGCCTCTGATTACGGAACTTGAGTGAGACCGCTCGCTCTTGGTCAGCCGAGGCAACTGCCGTTATGGCTGAGCAGTACAAGGCACCTTCTCTCTACGCTCGATTTAGACTTGGGGAATTCCCGGGGGTGCAGTGCATTCGTGCTTAATTCGCATGCGGAATCCTCACAGAATCCGTCCGGAAAGCATGACCGCTTGCCTATGGGAAATCTGAAAGAGGCCCTAACGAACAATGACTTCGGGTCAGCCGCCGTGGTGGCCTCTCTCTACGACGGGCAAGACCAACAATCCCAAAACCTGAACATTGTTCTGACCACTGATAGTCTTTCATTGAGAGACAGGAACCCCTACAGACGAGAGTGGTCAACTCTTTTCAATCATCGCGAGTCGCAAGTCGCAAGCACTGTGGATAAGCCGTCGAATTTCGCGCGAAGCTGACCATTCGGATTTGATAGCCGAGATACGAGGGCTTGATTACGTTCACCCGTTCGCTTCCCAAGAGACAGCATACTTGGAAATTCTCTCCTTCAGAACGTTGAGATCCGGGATAAAACCGAGAGCCGAGGGTCGGGCTCTTTTGATGGATCACGATCATCATCCATATGGGTCGTCTGCTAGCCATTGTTTACCTCGCTGTTTTCGAGTGCAGAATACGAGCTGCGCAAATCCAGAGCAGCTGATGCTCGTCAGGTGCTCGATTGAAGTTTTTTCCTACCACGGTTACGGCTTGCTCGTCCCGGATAAGGATCGTCCACGGTCGGAGTTGAATTGGATTCGATGACGCTCTGTCCTTGAAGTGGGCGGTCGGACGGAAGGCAAGGAGCTCCCGTGAAATCTCGCGTTGCCGTCGGTGAACCGTGCGAGTTGTTCGGGTGAGCAGCGAGTGAATCGTTATGATAAAAGCAATGGTGTCGCTCCCGGTGCGCTCGAACGACAGTAAATTAGGACACGAGCGCTCCTTCTGAATGAAAAGTGACTCTCGGTGACTCGGTGATCGGTGCACGATGTGGATGTTGTCAACAATAGTGTTTCTTGCTTCCCTGCCCGACTGGTCGGAGTCTTACATAAGAGTATACAGCGGCAACTCGAACGAGAGCTTGCTCACGATCGAGGAGAGAACAAGCATCACGTACAGCACTCCTCCCGACGATGGAGCGTTGGGTCGACTGGTCATCGCGGCGCCCGTCAACGCCTGTACGACGATACCGAATGTACCGTACCCGAGCAACGATAGTTTTTCGTGGTTCCTGCTGGTGCGCCGCTATGATTGCACATTCTATGTAAAATTGACAAACGCGCAACGAGCTGGCTACGCCGGTGTCATAGTTTACGACAGTGATGAGGAACATCTTCTCGCTCGTCCTTTCGGTCTGAGCGACATCAGCATATACGCTGTTCTCATCTCGAAAAGAGATGGGAGGACGCTCCAGCAATTCACCTACGACGAAGGCTACTTGCTAGAATGGTATCCAACGACGGAATTCAACCTGCTCGGATACATTATTCCGTGTATCATAATTGTTTTACTCTGCATCATCATGATATCTTCTCTAGTCGTCGCTCAACATTGTGCCCGTTGGTATCGGGAACGACGTCGCAACGCTAGGTACAGATTAGCAAAGAAGTACTTGAAACAGCTGCCCGTGAAAAAGTGGACGAAGGGCTCTCCGGAGTTCGAGAGATACGAATCTTGTTCTATTTGTCTCGATGAATATCAAGAAGGAGATAAGCTCCGCGTACTACCGTGTTCGCACGCCTACCATGCGAAGTGTATCGACCCATGGCTGACAAAAAATCGTCGGGTGTGCCCCCTCTGTAAACGCAAAATCATACTACCGGGAATGCCGGAAGACTCCTCCGACGATGAGACAGCTCCTCTGCTGAGCAATCAACACGACACGGGCGGCGGGACATTTCGAAACGAATCACCGAGACCCGAGCATACCGAGGTGGGTTATTTGAAATTTCCCCGAGAACATACGCCCGGAACTCGTGCTCCTTGACTGGAGGATCGATTCTTTTTCGAGTGAATAAAAAAAATTCTTCCGCCTCCAGGTGCAGATCGAGGACGTTGAGGGTCCTGCTGGAGCGGCTTCCAGCTCGGCAGCCTTCGCCCCTGGAGGTCATTACTCATTGAACGATGAAGTCGAGGTTCTGCCGAGACGCAAATTGAAGAAAAAGAAACGATCTCGCAGGCACCGGCCGGAGCCGCTGGACGACGCAACTGTCGCCGGTCCCTCGACATCGGCGGAACTATCACCTCAAAATCAAATGGTGTGCGTTACCCAAATGGGGTCCGACGATGAGCAGCAACTGCTGTGAAGATGTTCGTTTCCCCCTTCCTTATTTCGATCGTGTTCCGTTCCGTTCGAAACGGAAATTTCCAACTCTCAGGTGATATACAAATATTATACAAAAGTTAAGGTGTGCGGTGAACCGTCCGTAAGCTGCGTAGGGCGCCCCAATGTATCTGAATGCCCTGTCGATCGAAATGGGATCGTCTGTCTTGTAGAGTTTCGTTTTTCGAAAAAGAGGAAAAGACCAATCGTGAAAACAACAACGACTTAACCCGATTTGAAGTCGAGCGCCTTCCATCTAATTATACCGAGCGTGTCTATTATGAGGCTCCCGCCGCATCGAGGTCCGTACGGATGAATTGATCAATTCAATCAATAGCGTGAGCTGAAGACCGGTGGACGAACCGATAGCCTTTCATTGAACCATCAATACTACGGTCATCGAGGGAGAGGATTTACCCCTTGTTCAATCTTCCCAGCGACCCTCCTGTTTTCTGAGGGATTTTCCTGGCTCATCGATTCCTTCTCTTTCTTCCTCCCAATTCCCGCGATATGCATGGATCATCTGAGGGAGAGTGATCATTCGTCGAGAGAGCATATTAGGCTTTAGGAAGACAGATCGTTGGAAAGAATACGCCAGTCACGCTGAAGATGAAGTCAAGCTGTCGATTGTGAGTGTGCTTCCTTCTCTGAGCTTGTGATCACCATTATAAGGTTCATTAATTCATTATTGAGGAGCCGCATCGCGTGTCTTCTCCCCCACGGAGTCACAAGAATTGTCGAGGTAGACTTCAAATCAGTGTCCAAAGAGAGGGTGTCATTGTAAATAGCTGTGTCGAGAAGAACGCTCTCTCTATACATTATTTTGGACCGAGTAGCTTGCTCGGCGATTGCGACGGTAGCTGTCGTCGGACACTGGAAAGTCCACGCGAAATGTTCCTCTGACGACACGGCGTTGAATCTATCCACCACAGCATCACAATCTCAGTCTATCTCTGATTTTTCGAGCTGCTCTGTGATGAGAGTGGTGCTGACCATGGTGCGAGTTGATGGCGACAAGACGAATTCGATCCGTTTCCGCGAGAAAAATAGTACCGAGAATTCAGTTTGAGCGTCCCGAGCATCATCTTTCCGAACAACCGTTAAGTATATTAAGCAATGATGCGAGAGAAAATCAGTGATTATGTTAAGTGAGCCTCCCAATTCCGAAATAAATGGCCGAGAGTTTCCAGCAGAACTGTAAGCCCCCGCTTTTCCCTCCCAATCGGATACTTTCTCGTCGATGTGACTAATGCGTTGCCGTTACTCCGTCACGACGTAATCTACGGGGCACTTGAGGAGCGTTCTTTGTTTTCACAAGCAAACGACAAACGATCCGCTTCTGAGAGCTCGCAGTCCCGCTTCTCACATCTGCACCGATCTCGCTCCAGAGAGATGAGGAGCCCCCCCATGCAGGGACACACCTCCGAATCCATAACTTTGCAGGAAATTCACTTTCATCGTGCTCCGACATCACGGAATCGACTCGGATGGAGATAGCGGCGCCCGGTCAGTCATTCGCGAATCAATTCCTCCAATACCGACTGCGAGATTTGGCGATCCGTCCGACTCTCGTATCTATGAATCAGGTTTTCGATTCCGCTGGAAAGCATTTAAAGCCATATTGTGTGATTCATGCGGTCATTAGGGCGAGTCATGCCGCCGCGCCGCGTATAGAGGAATCCCTCCCCTTTCGGGAGTTAAAGGAAGTCATGTCATCATGCGAAGGAGCTGCTTGAGTCAAATCGTCGCTCCTGACTGAAAGGATTTCTTTCCGCTGGGACTGGGGGGTATAAAAACTATCGATTCCTCAGCCGTCGATTCCCAGCCCTTACGCAGAAAGATGAGAAAGAGGTCAGCTGAGTCCCACAGCTCTCGGTGTCTTTTGTCATCCTTTATTGATTGAAGGGTGAACAATAAGATGTGCTCGTAAGCTCCACGCCAAGTCATGGGAGCGAGTCCTAGGCGATTATTCCGTAACTTCTGGCGCCTCCTGAAGTGACTACTAGAAAAATATTCTGACTACCGGCGAGAGGACCGAGGACCACATCGACGAGGCAATCGCCTCTGATGAGTTTTCCCCGTCGCCGGAAGATGTGGGAAACGCCAGGATGAGGATACTGCAACCAGATCTATCCTTATTCGAAAGTCGGAAAATTGAAATGTTCTAAATTCAGGAACTCCAGTAGTGAGTTATTGTAAGGTAAGACGCCCAATCCCGATGGGTAATGAGCAATAATAAGGTAGGGCGCCCAATCTCGATGGTACTGGAGACGTGTTTTATTCGGACTGGGCAGCTGTTTGCTCCAGGCTCCGTCCGCTTTACCTGTTTTAACAAATTATACGATACTCGAGGAATCAGCAAACATACCGCTGTTGAAACTAGCTAATCTGCATCCATAATGGATCAGTACAACCTAGTTCTTCTCGAAAGGAAGACGGATTATACAGTGACGAGAGGACCCGACATTCCACCATATCAAGGTTTCGGATAAAGCCAGAATGCCTCGGAAATCAACTTATTTCGTCGGGACTTCTAGATGAGTGGCTCTCCTCCCGGTTTCTCCTGGAAATCGCTGAGCAAATCGATGACCCAAGTTCTTCGCGCTGAACCACACAGCCAAGGTTTAACGTCTCGGGTACTGTAACCCGGGGCCTTGATTCCCACCCCCATCCAGGCTCAGTGTCTCTTCCGTGTCAGCAAACCTTGTCTACGTCCACGCCACTGGACCTACGAATATCATTTCTTCCACCTGAGAAGAAAATCGTAATGAGGAGTCGTAGTCAACCAACGGTGTCTGAAACCATAGGCCACGTCATCTGCGAATGCAACAAAGCATTCTTCGAGGAAGAGGAAATACTGAAACGACTGGAACTTCACAGAGATCCCTCCTCGAGGATGATACGCTACACCAAGAGACTCCTACAGCGGTGGGAGGAAGAAACTAACAATATCCGCTGAGACTACTCGCCACCGGAGTGAAGGTGTCATTTAAGAAACCTAAATGAGGATAAATAAATACCAATACCGAGTCTTAGATACCAATACCAATGGTAAAGTTTGCTGCGGAAGCACTCGCATCGATCGAGCGAGGATGCGCTTCGGAGGAGGAAGAGTATCCCGTCACGGGGCCCTTTGTTCCACGAGCTGACTTTGTTAGGATCAGATACTCGAACTCTGAAAAATCACGCGACCGCCGGAAACGATTGATACCGCGGCCCCGACAAAAGAAAAGGTCAGAGAAGAGGGTGAATGTTCGACGACCACTCAGCAGGCGTGGTCAGTGGAAGCTTCGGGATAGATGCGAGCGCTGAATCACTCGTTATATAACGTTGCCACCGCACCGGGTCCAAACCTCAATGAAACATGGATCGTTCCGCGATTAGCTGCTATAGGGACACACGAAAGAAATCTTCGGTGTAAGCAGCTCACATTCGATCCCTCCTCTCTATGCAGGATGATAAGTCCGAGAATGAGAAAAACTGCCCAGAGCTTAGTCTCGCGAGACCTTGCACGGAAGCCCAGACTCGATATCCAGCAAGTTCCGTATGGGCGCTCTCGTGCAGCATCACTCTCTCAACATGATTTCGCCCCGTCGAGTGGAATTCGGTGTCGGGAAGCCCAATTACATATTGGGGTCGCCTCCGTCAGCTCGGTCTCTCATGTGAGCCAGTCTGTCGGAGTATGTTCCCCGTGTCCCGTTCTCCGAATTGCATCCAGAGAGACGGAATGGAATCTTCATAGTCTAGGAACGTACCGTATGATTATAGATCTGGAATCCGACCCAAAATAGGGTCGCAGAGCCCGCTCAGGGGGTCGTTGGGCTCCAGCTATTTTTCAAGCATTGCTTCGGGGTCTTCGGCTATTCCGCACTGAAATCGACGCTGAAAATTCTCGCCTTGCGTTCTTCCGCGCCGCATTGCCGATTGGGAAAAGGGTGAAGATGAGCAGTACATGACAGCTCGATGCTGGACGGAAGCCCCCAACTATCGAGTCAACCCTCCGATTTGATCAGAGAACTCGCACGGAAAGTTTTGGATCTGGCGACTTCTGCTTTTCGAGCTGTCATCCAGTCCCCGCGAAGTGAATAGCGCAGTCACAGTGTTACTTCAGAAATCTGGCATAAAAACTCTAATCTCTGTCACGGGGTTGAGTGTGCCTCTTAGGGGGTTGCGGAGCAAAGTGATTCCTCTGAGGGGGTCCTGGGACGGGAGAGGGTTGCAGATCACTGTTATAGAGAAATTGTCCGACGCCTGATAGAGTCTTATTTGGCTCAGCTTTTCGAATTCATGCGGACGCCGTTGTTCAATATGACCCTTTCGAATACTTCGAGCATAACCTGGGTACCTACCCAGTCTGCTTCCCGAATGAATACGTCTGTTCAAGCAAAAACTTTCTACAAATTTATTCGTACCCCTCTCTTCCAGCGGGGAAGGATATGAACCGTCCTCGGTGCCCTTCCACCTCATGACGTGTTCTCCAGGAAGTTTGTCATCGATAGAGCGTGGTCTATCAGAACAAGGGCCAAACAATGATGCTAGTACATGGTAGACCATCGATGACCCAACATCGAACAAGAGGCGAGTTCAGTTGTCGTCGTCTCTTTTCGATCGCTTGTGTTTCTGTCTGCGATCTTCTTCGTCGTCGTCATGTCGCCGGGATTTCCGACTAGACCTGAAAGCGGGTGGAACAATTCAGCTTTGAGATCTCATTCGAAAACATTCGATGCGATCGATTGTCGCAGCTGAGACGGTCGTCTCCCCATTCTCCTACGATGAATTTTCTCTCACCTGTGTCTACTTTCGCTCATATCTCGGTGATCTCGGTCTCTGTCTCTATCCTTTTCCCTGTCTCTCCTCGAATCTCGGTCTTCTCGGTCTCTGTCTCTTCTGTCATCCCTTTCGCTTCTGTCGCTTCGGTGCCTTCTGTCTCGGTCGTCGCGGTAATCGCGTTCCTCACGGTCGTCCCTCGATCTGCGGCGAAACAGTCCACGATGTAAACCCGGAATCGAACTTAGGGGAAGTGGGAACGCGGACGAGAGCCGCGTCCCCGACACCCCCAGCAGGCCCGAAAGCCGTGGGGAAAATTATAATTTACCTGTGGTGTCTTCTTCGGTCAGAAAAGTCCATATCGTCCGGCATCATAGGTGGACGATCATCGGGCCGATGAAAATCGCCACCAACAACCGCATGTGGGGGCGGGCCACCGTAAGGATCGAAAGGAGGCGCCATATTCATCGGGGGCGGAGGGAATCTCGGATCAAACGGTGGGGGTGGCTGTGGCATCGCGTGGGGTGGAGGCATGCCATGATGTGGCGGCATGCCCTCATGGGGATCAAAACCAGGTGGTAATCCCGGTGGGAATGGCATGTCGGCGAGAGGCGGCATCATCTAGAAGGGAAAAATCCTCGTCCAGGGAATTTCGGAGCGACGCCGACGAACCAACTCTCCCAGAGCATCGAAATATCGTACATGATCCACTCACAGGGGGCAGTGCTTCTTCATGTCTCCTTGAGTTGGCACCTCCGATTACGTCTATGGTTCCGCTCTTCCTGAATTCTTTTGGTTCAGATCGAGGTTGGAATGAGGATCGGTACGGTTTTTCGTATGGAGGAGCCGATGACACAACTTGATTGACCAAGCTCTGCAAAGGTTAATTGTTTGTGTTGAACTCGCGCGAAAACTCCATTCAGACAGAAATCGGAGCGCCTACAATGGTCCCACTGAAAGCGGCAACGAGCGGTTTCTCGGCATTCATTCGACATCACGAACCTTGACACCCTGCGTGTTATTATTGTCTCCACGGAGTCGTCTCTGCCGATCACAATATACTTTCCAAGTATCTTCAGTGAAGCCATAATTGAAATAATCTGTTATGTCCGCACCCGGCTTCCTCCACGGTTTGTCCTCAAGGGAGTCGATGTTGAACTCGTATATGTTCGTTCCTATTTTGTATGAATGAATCATCGATTAATAAGCCGTCATCCAAACCTGATTCTACAACGCCGTCATCCGCATTCCACGATTCTGTACATCAGGATTGCTCATTATATGATGAAAAATAGTGTGAAGTCTTCAAGCGTCCATCTCCGCCTAGATCCTCCTCTCCGACGAATCCGATACAGTTTAAGAGCTGGGACTAACCATTTATACTAGCAACAGCGTCGATGTCTAAGCCTTTATGAGGGGCTTTAATCAACTGCCCGCCAGGCGCGGACGATGAAACTGCGGTTGTCGCTATGCTTTTCTTTATGTTTATGTTCACGGGAGCAGCGGGGAAAGCTGACGAAGGTGCTGCCGGTACTGCTTTCGTATCGCCAATGGTGATCTAGGAGAGGAAATCCCACTATTAGAGGCGTCTGAATCCAACGCTCTAGGTATGCCGAAAAGCGTCTTTCCGAGAAAAAAATAATTTCGCTAAAATCCTACCTCGATGTCGTCTTCGTCGTCGTCATCTTCTTCTTCACCCTCTTCGACCTCGCCGTCATTTTCGGCCTCGCCGGTATTCTCCGCGGCTTTCCCAGCGAGCGGATCTTCGATCAATGGTTCTTCCTGAGAATCATCTCCATTGGTTTCCTGTATGAGGTAGATGCGAAATCAATGGAAGAAATCTCCACATTGAATTATCGGAAGACAGACAAGCTCAATCCAGAGACCCCCTCGCGAGGACGGGGGCTTCGCGTGAAATACTTCAGAGAATAGTTCCAAGAGGGACTCCCCAAAACCACGAACAATGACCCTACCTGTGATTGCGCTCCCGTGTCTTCATCGTCGCCGGTACCCGGGGGAACGTTCGCGTCCACAGAATCTTCTCTCGATTCGTACAACCATGCTTCTTCATCCACGGTCTGAGGTTCTAGATCACCCATGGCTGTCACTATCGATTTGGCTCGTTACGCTCAAAAACTCAATCGACTCATCCGCGGGATTCAGCTTAGCAAGGGCATTTCGAAAAGGAAAAAGCAGTATTGTACTGATAGTGGCCGTCCCCGCTACCGCAGCTTCGAACGCAATAATGGCGGCGCCTATGCTGGCGCCCGTCTATTTACAAATATTCGACTCTGAGCAGACGGTCTTCATCTTCTCCGGGTGGTCTTCAGCGGGGCGGACCGACGGTGCGCACGTGTGTCTTGTTTTGAGTCTTTTCTTCGCTGTGCGTGAAACTTGGCGGACGCGATTGGCTTGCCAGTTTCAGAATTTGAGATTTCTCCGGATTCTTGTGTGGAGATCAGCTGTGGTCGTTGAACAGCACGAAAGATGTCTTCAAGTGATTCTAGTGACTATGAAGAGATGGATGCGGAACCGGTGGACGCAATACCGTGTGTATTCTGTACAGAGGCTTCGTCAAATGATCACGAGCTCATTTCTCACTGCGCGGCAAAACACGGTGTTCAGCTGAACAGCGTTTTCGCGCGGATGAAGGACGTATTCGACGTGATCAAAGCAATCAACTATTTGAGGAAAGAAAAGCCTTCGCCGGAAGAGTTCAGCCTGCTGTCCAGCGCGCAGTCGCCTCCCTGGAGCGATGACAAGTATTTGGAGCCTTCCATCCCTAACGATCCCCTTCTCAGGGTGGATTTCGAGCGTTCTCAAGATCATAATCATGACGAGGACTCGATGAACGATGTTGCTTTCCTCCGGGAGCAGCTGGATATCGCTCACCAACGAATCGTCCAGATGCAAAAAACAGCACGAGTGATTCTCGACGGGAGACAAGGACAGCCCGGGGATGTCAAAATATCGAGAGCCGTTGGAGATCTCAAAGTCTCCGAAGATTCAGGCTACATAGATTCATATTCGCAAATTGAAATCCATGAGACAATGTTGCAGGACAAGCGCAGAACAGAGAGCTATCGGGACGCGATCGTAACGAACACTCCGATGGTAAAAAACAGAGTCTGCCTCGATGTCGGCTGCGGTACCGGGATTCTCTCGATGTTCCTGGCTCGAGACGGCGGAGCTTCGAAGGTTACCGGCGTCGACTTCTCTGAAATCATTTACCACGCGATGGATATCGTTCGCGAGAACAAGCTCGAGAATATCGTGCATCTGGTCAAGGGAAGACTTGAAGATCTCGAGCTCGAGCCAGCTGATGTCATCATTTCGGAATGGATGGGCTATTTCCTCATTTATGAGAGCATGCTAGATACGGTCATCGCTGCGAGGGATAAATATCTCAAGCCCAATGGAGTGATGCTTCCCAACAGGGCGAACATGTATCTAACGCTCACCGACGATATGGAGCTATACAAGCAGCACGTGGCGTTCTGGGATGACGTCTACGGTTTCAAGATGTCATGTCTGCGTGAACCCGCAATAGCTGATGGAGTGGTGCGACAGCTCGCGCCCGAGTCCATATGCGGCAGTACCGCGACGATAAAAACCTTCAACTTGTACACTGTGACCGTTGCGGATACCATGTCCTTCCGATCCCCGTTCGAATTGAAGAGCGAGCGAGATACGACAGTCACTGGTCTCGTGGGTTTCTTCGACGCGTGTTTCGACCTACCGCGGAAGGTGGTGTTGAGCACCGACCCGCGCGGAGAACCTACCCATTGGAAACAAACTACATTCCTGCTCCCGGATCCCATAAAAGTGTCTGCAAACGACAAGATCTGTGGTACAATCTGCGTCGAACGGTCTCCCCGTGACCGGAGGGGACTAGAAATCTGCATTGAGCTCGACGGTCGCCCTCCCTTGAAATATCATCTGTGAGCGGGTGATCGTTGTAACTAATTTATACATATAATAATATCTGTATGAGCACGGCTTCACTATAAATGGAGTTTTCATTGGCCAAGCGCGAGGGGGGTTGCGAGTAATTTCCTTCCCGTCGAGGGGACTTCCTTTACTCGACCAATCTGTGACCGCGAGCAGACTCCCATCGTTTCCCCCTGACACTTCTGTCGATACGAGCTGCACAGGAAAATATTCAGACATGAATCACCTCCGTTTATTGAGGATATCAGAACAGTACAGCCCGGATGTGAGTCATGAGCCCATGGGAACGCCCGGTATTTCGGCACTACTTTGGGATATAACGCATTTAATGCACTTTTTCAGACGCAAAAAAGTTAATCCACCGATCCGAGGAATAGATTCCTGTAAGAAAAATAGAAGCCTCCATCGATTATTATCCAGGAAGCGTACCCTGGAGCAGGGGGCTTATTTTAGATGACAGGGTGAACTTGTCTCATTCGCGGCTCGAATCGATCCGATTCATTGTTCTATCTCTGCCGACTCCGCGAGTCGCTTCTCCGTCTATCTACATCAGCGATGATTCGTCCACAGTTTCGCGCTTCTGCAGAAGGATATCCAGAGACTCTCGGCTCATGCCGCTGACTCAGGGAAACGTCGAGGGTAATGTGTAATTAATAAAATCAGCTGATGCCCAGATAGTCGTCTATCTGACAAACATGAGGTGGCCTCGGTGCGGGAAGGGGTAATTCGGACTTATGACTACTAATTGAGATTACGGATCAGTGAGGATCACCGTCAAAAGCCTTTCTCAAGGAAACTTGCATGGGGGATCCTTTATCCGGGATTGAAGAGAAGCACACAGCGGGGAGCGTGAGTTTGTTCTGGGGCAATTTTGAGGTATCTTGGAACGGTCGGATCCGCTCACAAGGAGTCTATAGGTTCAATGGCAGAGTCGAGTCGAAAACATCATTGATTGTCCTTCCCGCAGACATCATTGAAGTCTCGCACAAGACTTGTCAGGCTGTACCTACCCGCAGTGGTCTTCGCTCAGATGTCCGATCATCCACTGATTCGGATGATCGCTGCCGCTGTCGGAAGATATAGCTCGAATATTATTCCGATGAGTATCACTCAATCTCTAAGCGTTCCTGCGAATGCAGGGAAAGACCACCCCTGATGAAAACTAAGAATAGTCTGCAGTGCTTGACATTTATGACAAAAATCGCTAGGCCATCCCCTAGATCCAAAACGGTATAGGTAGGTAGCTAATTTTTTCCTAAATCACCGCGAAGAGCTTATCTCGTCGGCTAGTAGATCTACTGCTTTCACTCCCGCAATTATTTCATCTTAAATCAGTCAACGGAATGCAGAATCACAAGCATTCGCAATACTCGTACATAAATCTTTCGGATAACTCCATTGTTCAGTTCCAAGCGAGAATCAGACTTTCTGAAATATGAGCGGTACAAAAATATCGATTCGCCGAAAGTATTTTCTGGAAAAGTCACACAAAGTATACAATTTGTTCAGTCGCATGTACAAATGTGAGTTCACAGAAGTTCAGAATTCGGGAACTTCCCTTTGGAATGAGAGCATTACTGGAATTCAACACCGCTCTTTCGTGATATCCATGGAATGAGTTGAGACTCGAAATAACTCGGAGTAGAATCATCGTCCAGAAGGAGACATTCCTCCGTGGGAGTGTCACACGGTTCGCAGGATTAAGGGGAGACCCTTCCTCCTCGGAGGATCTGATCTCCGGACGTCACAATTATGAGGTTCCTTCGAGATTCTTCCGGCAGTGCGGCTCCGAAAGCCACCGATTCAAGCGGATACCAGAGGATCTTGCTCGATCGATGCTCCGGCATTCACTGCTTTCATCGCTTCTGCTTTCTTGGATTTTCTCCGGCTCCTTATAATTAGAGGTTCCAATGACCATAATGATGCCGAAGCTATGCAGATGACTCCCATAGAGAAGAAGAGTCCATCGTAGTTCCCGAAAGTGTCCTTGAAAACACCTAGAAAGTGAAATCAGCCCATCAGCAACGAAACACTCCAGGTCATCAATCAAGAATGAGCATACGACCGGGTGGATTAGGCATATTTCATAATAGGTAATCTGCACTATCGGATTATATAATTTAGGGCGGCTGAGTCGACTCCCCCTCACTCGGGACAGGCGTATGATCTTTTTCACGAAATACACTAACCGATAAACGGTGGCCGGAGAAATCCGGTTATACCCACGAAAAAGTTGCCAAGACCGATTGCGAATGGGACCTGGTTTTCAGAAATATTCTCTTGGAAAATTATCGGACCGATGAACGAGAGACCACCCGTCAGCAGACCGTAGATGAAGGCTATGATGGCGAACCACAAGTAGGTCCGCGTATACGGCAAGATGAAGCATATGACGCCCATGGCAACAGATCCGATTATGAGTAAAGCTTTCGTCGTGAGAAAGTTGTTGTAGGTCAGCATCCCTGCAAGGAGTAGGGTATTTAGCGCGTCACAATGTAGGAGGAAAATCAAACGATGTCCGTGGACAAACGTGAGCCGTGAAGCCGCTCGAAGTTGGTAGGAGAAATAAGTGGTGTCCAATCTATTTGTGTGTCGCTTCCCGGGACCCACCCAAAAATATTCCGGGCACCCTTTTCGCTCCATGAGGCGGTGCGACGCAGTGCGTGGCAACGAAATACCGAGAAGGGCTTTTGATTCGCGACGCGAAACCTATTCATCAGTCTTCCACTCTAATGAAAGCTCGTCGAGGGCTCCTGTCGTGAATCGCTCGAGGGGCAGACACAAACAAAATTCACCCGTTCGCCTGTTCACCCAAGCTTCCACTCTCCGAGAAGTCAACGGCATTGCATCCAAGGTCGACGGGAGTTCAACGAATTTGAGAGTGTCAAGCCGCGAGAGAGTCATTCTGGCTCATGGACATGGCTTCTTTTTCCCAAAACGATTTATTACAAACCTGGAAGCGGTTTACTGATCAGGTCCGATATGCCGAAGATCGTCATCAGAAACATGGTGTCGGAGCGTTGAATTCCGCTATCCATCGCGTAGTCCGTTATCACAATGAAAACCGTGACGTATACGAAGAGGAAGCAGACTTGGGAAATAGTTATCAGTTGAAAATAAGGATCCAGAAAAACGCTCAGATCCTTCTGGAGCGTTTTAATGCATCGGACCAGAGGCGAGGATTTTTCTTCCTTTTTTTCAGCAACTGCGGATGTAAAGAAGTCGAAGGCTCAATTCGACGCTCATCGAATCGCTCCGACTCGTAGAATCATGAAATCGCCTAATTGATTACTGCTCCAATTTGACACGGCTGTCTGTGGAAAATGCAACAATGCCTGTCGCTAAGCCACAAACGGGTTCCGAACTCACACTTGATGCTAGGTTTCACTGTCTGATCGAACAGAGATCCGATTTCGTCTGAGTTCCCGATGCGCTCCTCGCGCTTGCCTCGCTTGACTCCGTCCCGAGCAACCTCATTCGGCCTACGTAGGAAGAGGGCGCCGAGTAGCGCGTTCAGGATCAAACCTGTCGGAGCGTGAGCGAGAGGCTAAGAGAACTGGTAGAAACTTTTGCGAATACCTTGTCTCCGCCGTTGCGGCTTGGCGGCTCTTACTGCAACCTCATCAGAAGCGGAGGAATTGATTACAATCACATTGATGAAAACAAGCACGACAAGTTCACTCGTTTTCAGGGTTTGTCATTAGCTTAGTCAACGTTCGACTCACCGCCGTAGATGAGCATGGCGCCGCGGAGGTTGAATTCTTTAACGAGCCATTCGAGCAGGAAAGGCCACACGAACGATCCAACTGACGATCCAGAAAAGGCTATCCCGTTCGCCTGGGGAACGATACCCGGTTTTCATCCATGGGGTATTGTCTCGAGGGCGAAAGTTACGTTCGCGACTACTCACCAAAGTACGCTGCTCGGGAGGGAATCTCTCGTTCAGGAGAACCGGAGTGAGCGTACACGTGAGCCCGGTTCCCAACCCATACAGGAGACCGATCAGGATCACAAAGTAGCCGACGTCGTAGACCCAGTAGCAGAGCGCGCAAGATGCGGACGCTATGAAAATTCCCCATGTTACGATCGCTCTGATCGATATAATTTTCTCCATCAAGCCCACCACCGGTCCTGTAAAGCGCGAGAAAGCTTAGAACATCAGAAGCTTGCCGCCGAAGACCGACGATATCTTTTCATGTTTGGATAGAATATGTCATGCATGTAATGGACACCGCAATCGCACGCTCTGTGACAGGATCATCGCTTGGCTTGAGTCTCTGGCGACGAATGCTGGTGGAATAGATCGGAATATAAGAAAGTGGTCGCCTCAAATAGGGTCTCTCAAGACTTTCTCGACTATTCAGTGATTCATCAAGAGTTTCGCAGCGATCCTCGCAAGGCGGAAAGGGACTCGGCGCACGATGCACCGCAGCATCGCCCCGACGTCGGCGGAGAACAGAGCTGCTCGAGCGGAACCCGATTCCGATGAAGTCGACCTTCGGAGTTGGATTCAGCCTTCATCGGGGTCATTGGCTCCGCTCTTCCACGAGGAGCGCCTCTCACATTCGGAATCTGAGGGCAGGAGGAGGACGAGGGATTCCATGACTTGCGATTCAGTCTCGAAGCACAGTCATTCGACGAGGAAGGAAGGAATCAAATATGAATTGGGACGTCTCCTCCTGAATATTGAAAATGATAGCTCAGATCTCAGAAACGCTCCGACGCCTCAGCGTTGGTCTCCAGCTCCCCAAGCGCAGTTGTCCAAGCGGAAATCTTTCACGAGGCGCCCTCATCCGCGATGACAGACGACACGAGCGCAACAACGAGCTCCATCAGACGTCAGCTGCTATCCCGGGGAAAAAATCACGGTGGAGGCCCAGCCTTCTGAGGTCAGACATAGCGCTCTGGAACCTTTCCAAGGTCTAGCGAAACATTGAGCTGCTGAATCGGAAGAGCTCCCCATCTCGGAATGATTTTTATCCCATGGATATTCCTGGCAAAGATTCGACTACTTTTTCGCGAGAATCCCGCGGGGCATCGCCTCAAGAGATGACGTCATCAATCTTCGACGATCAAACTATGTCTCGGTATACGAGAATTAATCCCTCATGAACGAGATGAGGGCGCACTCGAGTCACAAGTGCTGCGAGCCCCCTCGAGGACGGTAGGAATGTAAGTCAAACAATGTCCCTACTCGAGGGTGCTCAATTTCTTTTGGTTTGCTGATGACCTAGTAATAGGTTTTGTTTCTATCCGCGGTGGAAAGTCGATAGGTTTCCTCGAGTCACTGGGTCAGCGAGCGGCTGCCGAAAAAGCTTCAAACCACCAAACCATGTTATCAGAATCTCGAGAGGTTAGAGAGGCCGGTCGACGAGGCCGCAATAGTTTAAGATTCATTCGAAACCCACTTCGGAATAATCGCCGTCAATGGATCGAGAACAAGATATCGTCCTGTCTTCGGTGGAGTCAGATTTCGAATCCTCCGCCAAAGTTCCCCCGTGACTTGAGTAAAGGGAGGTGTTCGGGGCATTCCTGTTTTTCGATATTTCATTTTAATTACGCATCGATGCGAAATACTGTATTGAGCCTGGTACCGATGTACCCGGTGGATGGATAGAACACAGGCCGAAATTCGGGCTGTCGGCGACGACGAAGACTTCGGTCTTGGCGTACTCCGGCTTTTCAAATAAAAGTCAGTCCGTCGGTCTAGGTATCCGAGCGGAGGCGACATGCTTCATCGCGGGCAGACTGACGCGTCCTGACATGTCGAACGCAAGCGAGAGGCTACGCGCGATCGTTAAACGGCTCAATCACAGAAAATCGGCATGCGCGTCTCTGCTGGGCACCGGTACCGCCGCGGAAGATGGGGATGTCACTTACCTATCATACAAATCGAAGCTCCCGCCAGCGACAGAGGCCACGAAGCGACATCGTATGAGCAGTTGAACGTGGTGACCAATTCGACGTAGATCAGCGCACCGGATCGGAGGAGTCCGAAGAGACAGAAATTTATCCAAAACACGCACGCCACGATAAATTCATTTTCGTAGCGGCCGCACGTCATCGTGCGGCGGGGTTCCTATTCGCGAGAGCAGAGAGTACGAGAGTCGAGCAGCTGGCGATAGAGCCCAAGTGTCATTCCGGAGAAGGCGCGATACCGAGCGTGGCTCCTCGCGCTTCACTGACAGTCGCTCGCTCGGTCCCTCCGTCCGTCAGTCACGCAGTCAGTCAAGCACACACGTGCTCAGTGTTCCTTCCGACGAAAGTGAAAAAGCACAAGCGGTGGAATACCAATGATGCCCTCGCAGCCCACCGGCATCCTTCTCTCTGCTGAGCGGCAGCGGCGACCGCGGCTGCACTGTAACAAGCAGCGATCCTCACCCGCCTCCACGATTGACTTTCACTGTCGGATTGAGACAAATGAGAAAGAAGAACTCTGCTTCTTGCTTGGTCAGCAACAGTCGCTGACCTGCGGCTCGCCCACAGGCTCCTTTCGCGCTCCGTCGGTGGATATCAGTGATTCAGCCTTCGTGTCATTGCGATGCCGGAAAGTGGAGCAGCGGGAGGATGACGTACGGTAGCAGCGATTTCCAGTCGGGATTCCAAGTCAAAACGTCGCAGCAACATGAACACCGACAGAGGAGCTCCATAAACGGCGCTCTGTTTTCGTTTCTCTTCCACTCGCTCCCTCTGTTATTGAGGAGAGCGCCGGGTCAGTGACAGTTGCACGATTTTGACGTCGCATCGGTTGCTTCTCTCTGTCGCGAGCTCCAACGCGGACCTTACGCCGAGCTCCGGCCAGAACTGTCTTTCGCACAGTGGGTCTGACCCTGTTTACTTGGTGACTGTCAGCTTCGAAACCTCATTTCAATCAGGAAGTGTCTCTAGCGGTTCCGCCACCCTTCATCTCCTGCGGATGGAGAGGGTCCCGCCACCCGCCCGCCGGAAGGTCCCGTGTTTACGACGATCGAGCCGGGACAGCCCGCCATGTGAACCTCAATAAAAATCTCGGTACATCTGTCGTCCTCCGGGAAAATGAGGAGAAAATTCGTCCCTGGTGTGCCTCGGGGGAAGAGGCTGTTCCTCGATCAATACGCGCATAACGTATTTTCCCCCATCTCCCCCAGCCCCTTCGACTGCTGGGAGAATCATTGCCCTGAAGCTCCGATGCGATGCCTCGAGCCGAATCGAACGATGGCTAAGGCTAAGATAAGATCTCCATTAATCAGCGCCGGTGAGAAATATCGATTACTGTGCAGTGCGCGGAGCGTGAGTATCCAGAGGTCGAAAAAAGGGGAGCTCAAACTCCGTCTTGAGAATTGAGAATTTTTCAAGAATCCTGTCAAGCCATTCCGACGCTCCTGCATCAGATACGACAAGGGATATCATTGCTGACCACCTGCTATCTCACAAGCTCGGAACTCCATCCGAGGAGAGCATCTCTTGGCTCCGGACATCTCAGTGCTCAGCAAGGGTAATGTCTTGCCACACTGACTGGGACCAGGCACGTGTTTGATTTTCCTCTCCACTCATGGATCCGATGGCGCCACCTAGCGGTTACTGAGGAAACTGCGAAGTCATAGCATGGAAAAGTCTCGCGCATTGAGTTCCGGAGAATTATTTCCGTCTTCAGAAAAACTCCATAAGCTGAGCAATGAAATCGAGATACCCTTACGGAAAAGTTGGAAAACACCCCATTTTTCCCGATCCGATTCTTCCCCTGAACCGAAGGCGGATGGCGAGCGATGGCGCCAGTCCAAGGGAGCTGGAGCTAAGTATGACAAATTCGATTCGACACGACAAAAGTTCACTTTTCCTTAACCTCGTATCCGGGTAACGATTAAAAAGTTCGTGATGACAGCGTGCGAGTCCTCTATCAGGCAACAGCGGAGGACCACTGTGAGCGTGCGTACCAAAGAGTGCGATAGTCTTCCCCGAAAGTCTTTCATTTTCTATTCATGTACGATCGACATCGTCAAGCAGCCGCTCGCTCTCACTGGGCGTTCCGCGTGTGAAGACTCGAGATCGTGAAAAGGTCTTTTCACGACACCTCACAATCAACGATGCAGCTCAGCTGTGCTGCTCTAGGGCTATCAAGGATCCTGACCCACTTTCGAAAATCCCGAAACAGGCTCGAATTCACCAGGATAGCATTTTCGGGGTACAATAAACTCCAGGATAAGGATTCACCCGTGTTCATCGCTTGTCCGAGGAAAATTCTTTCGGCCAGGCAATATATCTCCGCGAGAGCTCGACACCTGCGATCAGAACACATCTGGAGCTCAACACAATGACTCTCCAGATAGGAGGGGAAATGGCCGGTGCTCCGGAGGGGAATTTACTTCCAACCGTTCATGTATCCGCAGTTATAGGGGGTCTTTCAGTACGAGCGACTCCAGGAAGAGCTGATTGATCGCCTTCTCGACGGGCCGTCAGTTTCCGACTCATTGCAAGTATGAAGTTTCTTCCTCGAGCGCAAGTGGAATGGAGAAATATAATGGTGCTCTCCGAAACCGTCCGAGGAAGCTGCCGTACTGCTTGGCACAGAGCCACCGGTGGTCCGCGCAGAAGTCCCTACAGATGTTCATTTTCAAGGCCATGCCTCACCGGCCCATCTGAGTAAGAACTCAATATTCCGTATTCGTTTCCAAGCGCGCCTGTCTTTCTCTCCCGGCACAGATTGTGTCATCATCGTCTCTAACAGGAATTCACTATTCTAATTAGAGCTCAAAGCATCTCCTCTTCTCAGAGGGGGAAAACGGCTGTCACACATTCGGTACACATCTGTATGCTCATATTGACAGGCCGATATCCTCAACCTGAGTAAGAGGAGAAACAAGAAAAATGAATCATGAATCATTGATATAATCCGGAAGACTCGAGGAACAGACATCGGCATCTTTGGTAGTTTGCTCTTTGTCCATGGTAAGGCTTCTCGACGACCCGACACTGTTCTCGCATCGTGAGCGGCGCGGCTCCGACTTCAGTCGAAGGGTTTGATCCTGAAGACCTCCAATACGGCAGCGAGAGCCTTGTCATGGAGTTACCCCGGAGAAGATTTGACCCAATGCCATCGCGCACGTCACCGCCACAAAAAATGAAGCCTCAACAGAATCAGTTTTGAGGATCTTTGCGCTCAACCCTCCGAACGTCTGACATGAGGTGTTCCCGGTTAGCTCTAGGGGCTCCCGCCGGATTGTGAAGGCCCGCGAGTGATGAGCTCCAATCTGACCTAAGCGATCGCCACTCGACAATATGTCATCCGTCTCCGAAATTGACCTCGCAAAGTGGCAATATATTCCGTCTCCTGCCGAATGTTGGCGCCGCGCCAAAAATAGCAACCAACCGCTATTCTTATCCTCCCCCGAGTACAGGCTGTAGCGTAGGTGGAGTGAAACCTTGAGGGTGATTTCCGAAGGAAACATCGTCTGCACTCTCCTGTTTACAGCTGATACCCACACTCCATACTGACTGAGAATATCCTTGCTCGGCGGCACCTGGCTCAGCAGAACTCCTTCTCCGGACCGTTCCGATGACGCAACATGGGGAAGAGCATGAATTGGAATCGAAAAGTTCGTCCCGGTCCCGATGGAGGCAGATCGAATGATTTTCGAAGCACAAGGGCGGGGGAATTAGCCTCCTCGGAAAAAAGGAAACTCCGTAAAAATTTGCAAATTCTGATTTCTGTCCCCAAAGTCCGGAGGCCGGATATCGGTAGCAGCAGCCGAGCTGCCCTGCCTCCTCCATGTCGAGAACAGCCATCAGCCGTCCATGACGACGACGCAAGCACTGATCCTTCAGCTCGCTGGCCTGCATTCGGGCTGCGGCAACTCTGAGTCGAGAGAGACAGCAGAGAAAAACAGATGTTCGCGATTTCCGGTGGATCGTTTCCATTTGACCATCAGGGGGCTTCCTGGAGACTGTCGAATATCCCCAGATATGATCAGAATTCTGCCGCTGCATCATCATCGAATAAAGCATGGGGGGTCTGCTCGAGGTGCGCGGGTTGCAAGCGATGCGCAGTCACCATTCAGTCGCTGGGCGAAAGTTCCATTTTCTTGTTGACATCGCCCATACCCATCGAGCTCTGTTCTCTTGGCATTTCCTCTTTCACGGCGATCGTGAAGGGTTGAGAACAAGGAGGACACAACGTTGTCCGTCAGGTAGCTCCAGGCTCCAGCTGAGTTTCGTAGCAGACGGCTGTCGGCGAGGACCGCTTGTCCAATCGATGCGCGGAGAGACATGCGCAGAGAGTGCCTTAACTCTGCGACCCACTGGCCTCCGATCGCGGAGTCGGTCTCGAGACTACGAGCGGTTGGCATGGCTTCGGGAGGTCCACATTGAACGTGCGCACTTCACCGAATAGGGAAGCATCGACTCATTGATTTGTTTCCCGGAAACCCGGTAAGCTGAGCCCTGATTTCGGCCTCGATCAACGAATAGAACACCAGCGGAAAATCATCTGCTCCCGCGACTCACTTCGAAAACCGCGGATATCTCACTCAGAGAAGTAGAACCCAACGGCTCGACGTCTCAGAATTCATCGAACACTAGGAGTTTGCCCGGTGGAAGTGCAACATGGCCGGAGCGAAATTTTCTCCTCGAATCGTTGTGGACAACGTCAGCGCAGGAAATTCTATCGACTGATGCAGCGGCCTCGATGGGCCACGTCGGTCATCAGCAGTTCTTGACGAAAAAAAAAGCTCGCGACGGACCTGCAAACATGAAACGAAAACAGGAACAGTCGACGGCCACACAGAAATCCCTCCACGTGCAAACGCTTCCCCAATGACCGGACATGGAGTCCACGGACCTTTCGAATGCCCAGTGTCCGGACTGGATGATCCTCGACAATGAAAAACTGTCCACAGCGAACGGCTTATCAGGGAATGCCGTTGTTCCGGATTTGCTGAAAAACGCCATCGACGAAGAACTTGTCGTTCGCTGCAGGCAGAAACTCTCCACGGAGTTGCAAGACAATAGCATGTTCCTAGATATCAAGGCCGACTTCGAGGAGTCCAATGACAGCGTTGAGGAGGCCACACAAGTTTGTTACGTTGACAGCCAAGGCAGATGGGTCGTGTGTCATTTCTCTGTGCTGCCGAAGTGGCTTCAAGATAACGACTTCCTCCTCAACGGACATCGACCACCTCTGAGGTCCTTCAAGGCCTGCGCAAAATCAATGTTCCGCGTGCACACGGAGACCGGCAACATTTGGTCGCACCTGATCGGCGCCTTCATGTTCGCCTTTACGGGATTCGGATTCCTAGCGTCGCAACCGATGAAATTTAGTGAACAATTGGCTTTCGCTGTATTCTTCTTCTGCGTGTTTCTGTGTTTCTTCATTTCAACGCTCTATCACACGATGCACTGCCATTCGAAGAAAGTCAGTCGTCTCTTCAGCCGTCTAGACTACTGCGGCATAGTGAGCATCGTAGCCGGCTGCTTCACGCCATGGATTCATTTTCTATTCTGGTGCTCTCCTTCAATCAAGCTTTTCTACATGGTGCTCGCGTATACGCTTTGTACACTGACCGTCATAATTACGATGTGGGAGAAGTTCGGTCGATCCCACTACAGGTCGATGCGGGCTTGCGTTTTCACGGGGCTCGCGGTGAGCTGCTCGATTTTGCCCGGCTCACACGGTATAAAGATCCACGGATTCAGAGGGGCTTTCATCGATCTCGCGTTCGGTTGGCTGCTGGCCATGTCGGCCGTCGCCATGATCGGCGTAGCTTTCTATGCATTGCGAATTCCAGAGCGTTTCGTACCGGGAAAGTTTGATATCATGTGCCACTCGCACCAGTTTTTCCACGTAGCTGTGATCGTCGGAGCTTACGTGCATCTTCATTGCCTCTGCCAGATGGCGCGCTATAGGCACCACGGTAGGGGAGCGACGTGTCCCGCCGACGAAACGAAATGGTGGTTCACTCCCAAGATTTGAAGAACTCGAATCGGATGGCGTCTCGAAGCGAGACTCGACTACGAATCCGAGGCTTGCTGTGCAATGCACTGCTGACTACGCTAGTCGTTAGGGGAACAGTTCAACAATCAACCGATGTCGTAGGTAGCTAGGAAAACAAATTCACTATTCCATTAGGTTCTGTACATACGGGGTCGGGACCTCGAGAAAGATGTTTTTTGGTCGCTGGCAGCAATGACCGTCGGAATGAGCACTACTGTCTTACAAGGGGACTCAAGTTGGCAGGGCAAGCTCAAAACAGTCTCTTTTGAAAATAATGTATCACAGTGGTTCTCGAGAAGGATCCTCTCGACCCCGGGCACATGCTCCCGAATACAATCAAGACGATATCAGCATGAGCGCATGGGACTATAGCAAGCCTATGCTCTAGGCGAAAGCACAGGAGCGCAAGAAGCTTTTTTACGGGCATTCCGGTAATGCCGGCGAGCAGAAATCTGACAATGGACGTCCAATACAAAGCCTATACATATACATACGCTGACGACAACAGCGTCGGCTAGAATTAGTGTAGCGAGTCAATGCAGCTTCGAAACTCCGACAAGCATTGCTACGTGTCAGCGTGAACGTACAGGAGTACGGAGGCTCCGCTAAAATAAGCCGAAGAGCTGCTGCCGCGGAATCATCGGTATATTCGGACGATCGATCCGGACAGAGGGAGCGGAACGGAATTGTGAGTCTTGTACGTATCCCGCATCGCAGAAACAACACCTGAATGTAAACTAAGGAGACTGATCCAAACTTCCGGTCAAGGACTGTCTGCCAAGCAATGCTCAAGGGGTTTCACTTGCTCTTGCACAAACCAAACGCGTCGAGCGTTCTCAGTGATAAGAATTTTGAAGGATCCATAGACTGCGCCGTCGAAGACATCGTGCATGATCGGTCGCAGTGAGCTGAAGAAGCACCATCTGACGTTTGCCTCTAGATGATTCTCCGATTGTTCGAAAACGCCCGATTCTAATTCGAAGACTACTCGAAATCTCCGGAAGTCCGCGTGGTGAAGCGCTCCGGATATCTGCTCTCTGAGGAATCGCTCCTTGTCCATTGTCAAAGAGAAGCGAAGACTCAGGGAGTAATCTCCGTATTCATTGTGAAGATGTCAGTTCGTCGAATAGTGCAAGCATACCAAAAATAATTGGCGGTTGTGAATCTTATCGGGATCGGATTCTTGAGGAGACGACGCTTTGTTGATGACTTGTTGTGGAGTTCTACCTCTCTGGAATTTAGGCCTTGCTGAATAAAGAAACCACTTTAGAAATCTTTATAAGGAAAACACAAACAATCCAGTCGGGTATTCTCTTCCTTCAACAATTGATTAAATATCTCGCAGTGGGACATCTCATGGAATATATGGAATCTCGCCGGTCCACTTCTCGCTCGAGGGCCCAAGGGTGAGGATGTTTATTGCGGAATGGTGATTGGAGCTCTCATGTCTTCAGCACCATGCAAAACTCGAGGGCGGATTGATGTTGCTCTTCCGCCTCGCGGGAATGCTCCCCCACGTACAGCGAGGGGAGCGAGCTCGGGAGCCTCATTCGGTCATCTCTACAGACCACGGCAATATCCCGATTCCCGTGAGACTTTGCGTTACTACTTTGCGTTGTATTTGTATCGTCTTGCGGAAATAGCCAATAGTACAAATTCCCACGATTTCCGGGAAAATATCCTTCGTCGCACAAGCTCGTCGTGATTTCCTTCGTAGGGTTTGAGGTCAGGGTCGGAGAGGATGCGGCATTATCATTTTTTCAGGACCGAGGTGGCTCCAATGACTCTGAGGAGCACTTGAACTTGGGAACTACGCATTAGAGGATGTGCGAATCGAGGTGCTCTGTCGTAAATCGACGGTTTCGCCGGACGGATACTGGACTGGCCAAGTCGGAAAGGCCAGCCTCGTGCAGGACTCGACGAGGTCTCTAGCTTCGTCCGCTCAGGGCTGAGATGGCGTGTTCTTCGTTCTTCCGTTCTCCTTGGGGCCCATCAAGGAATTCTTCATTCCATGAAGTTCCGACAGTCTGATTTCAGCTAAGACTCGGGATCGGGATTCACCGCAGCGCTGATCGTGCCGCAAAGTGCTCCCTTAATCCCGAAATATCCGGCCGATTATCAAGAGTCGCATGTATCATGGAGGAAGCAGAGCATCTGGAATAAGCACATTCTCGAACCATTGCGCACCGTCTCTTTTCTGCGAGGCATGGAGAAAACGATCTCAGATTGAGGATCCCGCTATGGAGGCGCAAGCATGTCGGATGGATTTTTGCGGCTCGTCTCGCGAGTTTCGCATTCCTCGCAATGAAAGACTCCGAAACCGGAGAACGATAGAATTCAGCTGCGAAATGTCGCAAGCTGCCCCACGTCCTCATGCGATTCACGTGGGATCCACTAATGAGCGTTTGAAACGTCATGTCTGGCCAATCGACGGAAGTCCTCCGCCAGTGGAACTTGCGAGTTCTCTCCGAAGGTCGGGATTATGCTCCGACTCTCGGGGACGGAGAAACGAATGCCAGCCGCCATATTTTTGAACATGTGCGGCGTTACTCAGCTCGTAGGCCTGATCTCGCAACTGGTCAGGAGATTGACGACTGCCTACACTCGGATTGAGAGGATCTTACGCTCAAATTAACGATGACCTCCCATCGCCAAGACGAAAGCGCGACATACGCGGGCGTTTCCATAGGTTTGAAAAATCACTCCTGTGGAGACATCAGGAACTGCTTTTCTCGACCCTCCATCATGTCAGATAACAGACCTCGGACTGGATCGTTTTTGTCACTTCCTCACGGACAATAAATACCAAGATTCTGGGTCAGAAAGGCCAAGCCACGCCTCTATTACATTTGCCTCCTTCGGGGATGGAGGCTTTTCGTGAGCCGCTCAACGCGACGTCAGATCCGTAACCGCGTCGGCTCTTCGCGTCGCTCTCTCGCTCAGTCGTCAAGTTTTCGCAAACACTTGGATTACGAGTTCCGTTAGCAGCACTCGGTTCGGAGAAACTTTGTGGTGAGGGAGGCTTCCCGCTTCCTTCGAGACGTCACGCCGTCCTGACAGAACGGTTTCAGTTTTTGCCTCCGGGGGATCATGCCCTGACCTTTGTGGGAGGAGTTTCGTTTGGGTTGCCTTGGAGAGACTCTACTCCTTACCAGCCTAAGAAGATAAATACAGATGCGAGTCCCCAGAGACATTCATCCACTCGTCACTCGTCAGGCAGTCCCTCCCACTAGATCCGCGAATCACGAGCTCTGATTGGACAGATTTGTTCTGTCATTCTCAAATTGGGTCTTCAAGGATCGACCCATTTTCCCGGCTTGTATGATTCTGAACATCGGGACGAACCATCGAAAAGAAAGGAGTCCTATGGTACGAAAGCCCGTTCCGAGCGGGCGCTGACGAGCTGTCACGATCCGGTGACAAAGAACGTGTACGAACGTCAGGGCCAACGGGCCCAGACTCATTGTGGAGGAAATGAGGGAAGCTCAATGAGTTCTGAGCCTCAACCAAACTCCGAGACGTATGAGGGGCTTCTTCTTCCCTACCAGACACTAGGGGGGAGGGGGGCTTTTCACTTCATGTGTGCGTTCCAGCGGATGCTTACGACCTGCATTTAAGATTTCATAATGAGGAAGTTTTCGCGAGTAATCTACGCACATCCAGAAATTGTCGGCTGGGCGAGCAAGCCGAATGGTACGGCTTCCTCTCCTCCCATCTCAGACACTCGATTTACCAGAAGTGCTTCGCGAAAGGGCGAGCTTAGAGAGAATGAGCGACGGCAGCGTAGGATGTCTTTCGCGACTAAGGATTCGATTCGGATTCTGAGTTGACCTCGGCGAATCACTATGTCGACCTTTGCAGTTCCCAGAGAAGCCATTCTCGAAGACCGCTCCCGATGTCATCCGGAAGGTTTCCTTGTAAGTATGAAAGCTACTGGAGGGATTCACTAAGTTAGTAATCTCTGAAGGCGGAGACTCCGCCTTCCATCTCGGACGCTCTCTTCGAAACGAAACTCCGGCGGGACTCTACCTCTTCGAGAACGGAAATTGTGGCTGAGCGCTGAGCCTCCGGCGACTCTCAATGATTGCCGTGCTGCTCAGTCACTTGGCGACGATTCGAGGTTTCGAGGTGTCTCGCAGGACGATGCCAGGATTGTCTTCCCCGACAGGGTCCGATGATAATGGCGCCGCCGGCCCGAGGTTTCTCCAGAGAAGTCATTGCCGCCATAGACCTGATCCCCCCTAATTATGGATTGCGGACCCTTGACGGCGGGAAATGCTGGGAATTCTTCCCACCCGCTGCGAGGAAGCTGCCCTAAACGAGCAGGTCCTGCCGTCGATGTTCAAGCTGCCCATTGAGCTGACGGTGAGCCCAACCCGAGCTTCTAGCCGAAGTGCATCCGACAGCGGGCGTCTTCTCCGTCAAGCGATGGGTCCCACACCAACTTTGTAAGAACGGAGCCTGATGTACACAGAGCCTTGCCGACTCGATTCGAAATTCAAAATTGGCAATCGAGGATCCGTCGATAATACATGTACATGTTGAATTAAAGCTGCGCCCGTGCACGTTACGCTGTCTAAACTCGCGAGCAGCCAGGAGAGACCATTGCAGTGAATTGATTCGGAGTAGCGAATGATTTTCCAGGAGGATTGATCGATTCGCTCGCCGATACTTGGTGTCATGCCTGGACGAGACTGTTGTCAATGAACGCTCTTGCGCGCTCAGAGCCTCATGACTCATGACTAGGGCTCGACTTTCGACTCACGACCGCGATTTTCCGTCGCATTTCGGGGCGTTTCCCCATGAAAGTCTCTGGGAGCCTGAAAATGCCGCGAGTTTCCGGCTAAAAAGCCGCGACGAAAGTCGAACCCTACTCATGACCCATGACTTTCATGAGGAAGAGGTGCTTCTCACAGCAAGATCTCCTTTCGCTTCCAAGTCATACCGGAGAGCGGGAGTCACTTCTGTCGCTCTTTGAATCCTGTCAAAGAGGAGAAGCGGCTCAATTCGGGGCTAAGGTTTACGCGGGAAACATCTCGCGGGAGATGGCGGAAGGAACCTTGGTTCCTGCCTGTCTGCGAGACTTCCACCTTGTTGAGCATCAAGATATCACCATGGTATGCTTCCCCTATCCATCAGCAAACATTCCGTCCGATCAGTGTCTGACGGAGTCGGCTTCTTGGCTTTTCATCGCCGCCTACTGAGACAACTTCACGCGCTTTTGATCTATAGAGCTGATCCATCGAGCTCCTTCAGGAAGTGTACCCCGGAATAACGAACCAGGCCCGTAGGGTGTAGCCTCGCGAAACATGGAAGGCTTCGGCGTCTGAGTCCTCTCCGGCAGCTATGCTTTATTTTCTTACAATAACAGAAGATCTCGGACCAAATAGTTCCACGTCTGGATTTCCACATGGAGGTGATGAGCATTTTCCTCGCGAGACTGCATCGTGACGAATCCTCTGCCTCCGGCGGATCTCCTGAATTCATTAGGGCCGATGACATGACGTCATGCAGCCTAAGAGCCATCCGCGATTTTTCTTCGAAGTTTTTGAAGCCTAGTTTTGCGGATCGCTAGCCTCTCACTGATCTCTGCGTCGGCTGCATGAAAGTATCGATCGATTCATATCTGAATATCATAATCGGGAATACATGAAAACATATCCGACGCAGACGATCTTCATGCGAACCTGAGTTGCGGAGTTCGTCCAAAACGACAGCGCCATCGGCACTGATTCGGATTTCGAAGCCCGAGCCGTATCCTGGCCAGTAATCGATGCCGAGGCCTAGACGTTCCAATACAGGGACGATATTTATGTCGGAAAGGGAATATTCCACAAAGTTTGTGCGAACATTCGGGAGGTCCCTATGGATATAGATCGATTCTGAAGTCAGTTGTGATTTCGGATGCGCTCCTGGGAATGGGACCGAGACGTACCTTAAGCGAGCAGCGATATCGTGCACAATCTCAGCGAATAAGATCTCCTCGAAACCTCTGATGAGTTGACGGTTCATGATGTTGAGGCATTTTTCAAGCGTTTTTTCGTCGGCATACGGCGGCAGAGCATGTCCGGTTTCCTTCGCCAAAAGGAGACTCTCGACGATCTGATACCTGTTGGTCGTACGGGGATTCGACGGTGAAGTCTTCTCAGAAGGGCGGGCGTCGAAGCGCTGGATCTTCGAAAGAGCTCCAGGTCCGAAACTCGTACCCGATCCCTCGTGAATCGAAACCACCACCATGATCACCCCAATCCACGGTCGCGCGTGACGAGGCGGAAGTCCAAGTATACCCAATCAAGTTCGAAACACTCATGCAAACTGGGAAGATGTTCGATGAGAATAATCCATGTGATGGTGGTCCCAATAAAAAATTGATTCGTCCCTTCGAAATATTGGAGCCTATCGGGGAAAAACTTACTTCTGCCATGGTGTCTCCTTGGTAGAATTTGCTTGTTCGTTCAAAAAGTTCACGTAGTCGCTGACACGGTCGCCTTGGTCGGATCTGAATTCATGGGCCATCATGGCGTCGATATTGCGCGCGATCATATCGTGGTAGAGATCCGCGAAATTCGTCTTCAAAACCTGTTTCAGAGAGAGATTCCGAGTGCGCTGAATCGCTTATCGATTCTATTAACGGAATCAGAGAGCGGTGAATTCCGAAGGGACCATGACGATGCACCTCCAACGTCGGAGAGAATCGAGTATGGGAGCTCAGCTTTTCAACCTCCGCGAGATTCCGGCCTTGGGTTTACTTACGGCAACATTGACCTCCTCGTGCAGGAAGCTCTTGAAAAGTATTTTAGAGCTCTCCACGCACCTGAGAGAAGGACCCCGTGGTGAGCAATCCCCAAACCGAACAGCGATCTGAATGGAGCTCGAGGAATTTTTGTCTTTATCCTCACCGTGGCACTGAGGACGCGATCGCTTCAGGGATTACCGGCTCAAGCGCGGCCATCCCGTCCGGCCCGTGCTCAAAGGCCAAATGCCGTCCGAGAGCAGCCATCTGCAGTCTTCCTCTATCAGTCAGCGTACCTTTCGACAAGCGGAGTCTCCATAAGAAAGAAATTGATTGGATCGAAGCAGAATATTCGGAAGGAGCTCCTCCTATGCTCTCTGATCCTCCTCGTCGAGAACTGCGATTTCTCAGGGAACAGTTGATCGAGCTGAGTTGAGTTTCGTATGGCACAGTCGGACATGCATCTTATTGTCTCACCGAGAAGCTCGGGCGTCACGGGCTCCCCGATGCCTTCGAAGTGCACGAACGGGTGTCGCATCCCATGTCGATGTAATAGGAGAATCAGCACGTTCGACACAGAAGTCATCTCGCTCTGGTTGTAGCTCTGCAGCGAAAAAAATCGCCCCGTTATGGAAAAACCCGCGGCTCTCAATAGATCTCCCCGTCGTTGGGAGCACTCGAATCGATCTAGTCGCGGATGTTTGCGTGATTGCCTCTATCAACATTCACGATTTGGGAAAGGATATCTAAACTCTCTAATCTTCTCGCGATCCCAGCGGAGGCGCGAATCTACCCCACACAACTAAACAGTGAGTAGCCGCGATCTCTGTCGAGAAAAAAAACAGCTATCGAGCTCCACGGATCGCTCGGAGCACAGCATGGTAGATCCAGGACCCCTATGCCGAGGAGAGCAACCCTGCCCATGAATGAGCGGATGCAGAGAGACGTCCCATGGATCGCCAATCATCTGCTCCGGATAAAGAGAACCGGTGGATTTCGCGGTGCACTTGAGCCTATCGAGCATGGATCGCATGCGACTGGACAGCTCCCAAAAAGGGAGGAGGGAGCGGGCCCACTGGTGGAGGGTCTCGCGCTTCGGGATTCCATGGATTTTTCTTTCTTGACCTAAGAATGGACAGAGAGACATCCCTAGCCAGCACTCGACACATCGACATTGAACCAGTCCCGAGCGTCAACGCGCCAAATTTGAAACGTGACTTGCTCGGCCTCACGCACGATGTTTCTCGCAAAGTCAGCGGAAGGGATCCACGTGGAGTAGAACCTCTCTGCCCACACGATTCGGAGCCCCTCATGCCGCAGAACCGTGGAGAGTCCACGGAGGGATGAACTATGGAGTATCTCGTTGAGAAGGACTTCTCCGAGCCATCCGATAACGCAAAATCCGCGTGTAAGCCGAGAGACATTTTCCATCACGCCTGATCCCGTTTTATTGAACCGATTTCAAACCTGATCTTCCGGCACCGTTCCTGAGGTGTGTTAAACATCAAACGCGTCGTTAGAGATGTAGGATCAAAAAGTCACACAGCTTTGCTAGAGTAAAGCTCGTATGAGCGACGCCCGCATAGTTCGTGAATTAGGAATGATGTTTAACGACTCGGAACCCGCAAGATGACTCGCTTCGATAAGGACCCTTATTCATTGCGAATCATGATCCGACAGACATGATAACTAGAGCTCGGAGTTTCGAGAGGAAAACGCGACAACGAAAAAACTCGAGACTCGGAATCGTCTCGGACCGGAGTTTGTGTGCGACAAGCGGGAAAGGGGGGGAAGCAATATTTTGCGAAATGAGTCCTTTGTGAGATCCTGGCAACAACTTCGATATCCACGCGAATTTCTACCTCTCCACGATTTCTACCGCCGAAGTTGCCAAGACTCCTGTGGATTCCGCTGGTCTGTGTTTCTCACGCTCCTCGGAGAAAATCCGAAGAACTCCTACAGGCGTGAATTCCTCGATATCCTCTCCGGAGATGATATGATTCTGATGAACGATGAGTGAAACCTCCTTCTGTGTTCACTCGAACACAGAGCCGAGGAAGCTTTCTCAGATATTGTCACCGGTCCCGTTTGGCCTACTCTGATTTGGAACGCCGCGCAATCGTAGGTCAACGCACGACGATCGCGCATTGGTTCGCGATGTCGGGATATAGCTCTGCGTTGCTCTGAACTCTGAACCCGTCTCCGATGCGAGAACACCGCATGAATATTACTGAGGTTGAAGATTGAACTTCCTGATCTCGAGAAAGCGTGTTAGGAGCGCTACTGGGGTAGCATCCGTAAGGGGGGATTTCTTGTCGACGCATCCGAATTCGACGTTTCATTTCTGAAGGACGTTAGCGGAGGAAGGCTTTGCCGGCTTAAGGCCCTAGGAAGTGGCCTTAAGCCGGTGAAGCTGATCAATACAGACCCATCCCGTGTCGAGCCACATTGAGCGCAGATAAAAGATCAAGCTTCAGGCCGTCGGGCCTTCTGAGAGTGACGAGACCGGGGATGATTTCCCGAGGGTTCTCGATGTTCTTCGCGGGCGATGTCGATGCGGGGAGCATCCGGAACGACCCTTGGAGCTCGTCGGATCGGGTTTTTGAGTTTGAGAATGTGTGTTCCGGGGACAGTTCACGAGGAAGATCCGTGCAGCCCCCGGCGATTCTCTGAGGTCCGATAACCTCTGGAGCTCATCGAGATTTTTTGTATTGGCGATTGCTCGGCAAGAGGGGAATCGGACCAGCGAGCCCTTGGAATATGATTCAGAGAGGCATTCCCTCAATCATATGTGAAATCATGAACAAGAATGCTCCATGGGGAGATCGAAGGGTTGACAAGCACGCCCCTTCTGAGGGATCGATTCAATTTTCAAATTCGGCAGGAGCTAGGAAGCCGGAGTGAGTGAATCCTCCAGAGCTCGGTGCATTCGTCAGGTGGCCAGGTGATCGAGCCGCGTACGATAAATACGAAGTGTGCCTATTCGGCGAGCACGGATGCGGCGGACGTCAGTAGGAACCGAATAAGCTCCCTTAGACTACCCTCTACCACAGATGTAATTCCCGAATTGCCCGACGCCGAGAGTCAATATTGCGCTAATGGTTCCCAGTCGGGATCCCTCGCCATCGATAAGAAATGCCAGCCCGAATCATGGTAGGAAATCGAATTGCTGATTAATGACGCTCCATCCTTCGGACGTGAACATAAGAACCGTCTACTCCCCGCTCTTGTTAGTGTGGTCGAGTCAATAGCAGTTCCCGGAGTGAGGGATAAAGAATGGGAACGCTCATCAAAGTTCTAATCGTATTCCACTTCTTGAACGATGCCTCTTCCAAGAAAGCTCTCCTGATGGAGTCATTCGATCCGGAGAAGGTTGGTCAGTCCCTCACCCCGATGATCGCGCGCTCTCCTGGCATGCTCCCGATTCTTGAAAACTTCCGATCTGATTCTAGATCCAAGGAACTTGGTATGTTATTCGCCGAAACCTCGAACTGTTCGATTCAGTGAAATGCATCAAATTCGATCTGAAACACGATTCGAAGATCGAAGATCTCTACGCGTTGACCACGCACTGGATAAACTCAAAGTGAGTTCGACACTAGAGTTTGAACGACGGAGGACAATGAAATTGACATCACCGAGACATGCATAATTTTCCGGAACGCAGCGGATAGCGGGACATCGAATATTGGTTCACAGATCCGATTACCTCGAGACACGCTTCAATATCGTTGACGATCGAGCTCACAGAGCTCGTTTCTTCTTCGAGTCCCAGAGTAAGTTCCCCTCCTAGCCGATTCATGATCGATTCTTTCTTTTCGGAAGAGTCTCGTCCGATCGGGGATAACTCTTCTGCTACTTCCGATTCTCTCCTAGGAGATAAGCTGGCGTCAATAACATTGGGAACCGACTACGACAATTACTTGGTGGGTTTCGGAGTGAACGGCGTCAGAGGCAAGTTTCACAATCGCCCATCTCGGCATGGATGATCTGGTCAGGTTTCCCAAACTCTGACCCACGCCCCTCATGATCAGGCACGAACATTCCCGGGTGATGGACGTGGGGTCTACACGTGAACGCAATCGTGTTGCACATAAGACTCTTCCAGAAGAATCCATGATATCTCTGATCGTCTGGGCAAAGTTTTCGATCGCTCCGAAACGAATATCTCTATTGCCCGTCTGACGACCCTGCGCGAAGAGCTGAACGGTATCCAGTATCGAGGCACTCTACGAATACCTGCTCTCCTCTGCGTTCAAGCAGGCGCTGATAAATAGACTCGAGGAAGATAGGAGCCATATTGCCCAGTCTCTCGGTAGGTGAATTCATTCAGCGCGACTGATTGATCGTTGTCCCCCTCAGAAACTTATTTCGTAGCCTCTCGTACAAAGACTCTCACCCCGGAGCACAACGCAGCAGCGAATGAGATTCTCGTCAAGAATGAAGTCGTTAGAGATTGGGTGGATGTCAGTCACGTAAGTAACCATCGACCGCAGGCCAGGCGTGGTATTCAAGGATCGATTTCCAAGTTTCTATCAACCCATGATCTTATCACTAGGACGGGTGTCCAGCTGAGCATTGATCGCAGCACCAGCGCGGGAATCTCTGCGTCGAAGGAGCCGCCCCTTTGCCCTCGCACAAAGGAAAATCTTATAAGTCCCTCGGCCGAGGGACGTCTCTCCGATGGGCGACAAAAGTTCCTTGACGGATCGAGTCGGGGGGAAGGGAATTCGGACCGACTGCTGCCGACCCGTAGGTGTACCCTGAGTGAAATCGTTCTCATGTATGGTGTAAAAAAACCGTACTCCTCGGATGTTGAGATTCGAGGCTCTCCCTATGAATAAAAACGAAAACTACTCTGTCTAAATCCATTGGATATCATGATTTAGTGTAGGTTGTTTCTGACGTCATACATGTACAAGGCTCACGGCCTATGGCTTCTCACAGATACAATTTGATGAGCTCATCGCTCACAGCAGAGGGTGTGAGGGTGCCCAGATCCGTTATCAGCAGACGGATGAAATCTGGTGATGTGTAATCCACGCATGGGTGGCCATCTTTTTCAGCGTTCGGCAGTGATTTGAGATCCCTCTGACTCAGGGGGAAGAATCGAATGCATTTCACGCTCTCGGCCAGTACATACACCGGTTTGTTGAGTTGTCGAGCACAAACGGCAATCTGGAAGTTCGAGGAAACTTTTCCAAACATGAATTTACGGTAGCAGTGATCAGTCCACCGACTCAAGGTGATAGTGTCCGGAGCGAAATTCCGCCGCGACTCTCATGAGCAATGACCAACCTGGAAGGTTCCTATCCGATTGATGATCCCTCCTGATTCTACGATTCCTTCAGCGCCTAATAAAACCAGATCGATGCGTTCCATGAAGTAACCGACAGCAGCATCTTTCAACACATGGCACTCGATACCGGCGACCGTGCTGAGTTCCTTCGCCATCTGAGCTCCCGACTGATCCGGGGCTGATTCGGTGATATATACCGTGAAATTGCTCCTCTGCGTGGGAAGAAGAACAAAGCGTCACAGATAGCTCACGGAACGAATAAAGTGAGTTCTCCCTCCGGACTGCGAGCAGACGTTTCTCATCCCTGATCAGTTGCCATAGACTTGTCGAAAATCGACTCATTGGTGAACTCTGCTCACCTTCGCTGCCTCGAGTAGAGCATCTCGAACGACCCGCGATCTCGAATGGACAAGAATTCTGTGACCGTTGAGAATGAAATGCGCCGCCAATTTCGCAACTTTGTGTCTGTCGCTGGAAATCTGTGAATATGGCGGGGGTCAGAAGTTCTGAAAATTGATCTAAGAAAAAGAATGGGACGAGAGAGGGAATCGGAGCCCTCATTTTTTCGAAGCTGCAATACTGAGGGAGCGCTCACTTTTCGTAGGAAGGATTCACCGCGAGACACAAGGGCCGGCTTCAACTGATTCAGGTCCACATCCAGGCGGGTTAGGGTGATGTATCTCTTGAACAGTTCGCAAGCGCTCTCTACCCCGATAGTGGCGCAGCTCGAAGTCATCAAGGACTCGCTGACATTGTTGAGGCTCGTCTGGGGAAACGGAGTCATCTGAGTGAGGAAATACTTCCCCGGGAGCTATCTCAGAATCCCGATCTGATTTCGAGAACGGTATTTAGAACACCATTCGAGGGACTCTAAGAACTCTGTTTGGCTCGGTCGATCTCGCCGGATGACTTCTGAGTCCAAAATGACTTCTGGTACTTCCTGCCTGGCGAGGAATGATCTGCCTTAATGAGACGGAGCTATTTCGAATACCTGGAGTTCTTGTATACTGCCGAAATCTGAATCTCTCAAGCAAGAGAGGAGAATCCGGATCGCGGGAACAATCGGAGCGAGATCTGGTTCTTCCTGACACTTCCTTTCCAGCTGTTGCGCATAGTCGACAACCATTATTATCGCAAGTTCCACAATACGTCCGGTTACCGCTGGCTCATATGAATTGAGAATTCGATAGAACGAACAGGGGAACTAGTTGGAAACTGATGAATGAATTGTTGAAGCTGCTCAGTCTGCTGCCTGCTCGGAAGGGAGAAACTGGAGCGGATTTCCGGGCGGGTCGTCCTGAAGCTGATTCGTGTGGGGCAGGCGTGATCCGATCTCAAGTTCAGCGATAGACAAGTCACTGAATCATTATCTTGGATCGGTGAGCTTGGCAAGAACATTGGATGCTGTCCGCGAGACGCAGCGAGGCTTCTATGGCGGGAGCGACTCCGTGTTTCAGGTTCTCTGCTGGTTGTTTTGGTTTCCGCTGCCGCCGGTCCCGAGGAGGACGAGCACAACAATCTTATTCACGGCGGTGTAGCTCATAGGCTCCGCGTCAGCGAGGAAAATTTTGAAGAGTACGCTGAATCTCGATTTCTCGCGCCGTTCAAAACCAGAATCGAGTCAAGATGAGTCGTCGACGAGCCTACGAAGATGATGACGAGGACGGTAAGTTCATCCACGGCGGAGAAATTCGAGCAAAGTAGTTGCGTAGCCGTCCATTACTTCTCGTCGCTCTTGCCTGGCGCCGACCGGCTGTCAAAGGGATTCCTTAAAGGACATCATATCGGGGAATGTCACGGACGGCAGATGCCGAGTGTTGTCCAAGCCATTTCGAGCCTATGCTCTACGGGGGGGAAGATTCCACAGAAACGTCAAAATCAGCGCCAGCTCACCCATCGTCGCCGAGCTGTTTCTAAGACTCGTCGTCCGATGTGATAGAGTGAACGAATCGATGGAAATCTCTGTCGCAACCGGGCTCCGCGGTTCCGGGAACCACACTAATTTCTGCGGTTCTGCGATCACACGGGGCGTTCACGGAGGACCGCATGGAACCGCGGTTCTCCGGAAAATACGCAGTATCTTGTCGAGAATAGTCGCAACCAGCATACTGAACCCTTCGACGAGACGAGCGAAGTGTCGCTTCGTCGTCTCGTCAGGTCCACGCACTAGGTGGTTGATCTGCGCGGGGGATTGATTTTCCCGCCTCTATCACATAGAGTCGCATATACAACATTGAGCGGCTGGATAAAATATATTCGAGAAATAAGAAGGATTTGGGAGCGAATGAATTTCGAATCTTGATTGTGGAACGATCCACTTCTCATACTCGGAATTCGATATACCACCATCGAACACTTTTCTACGGAGAAAAAAGAACAAGCTTCGTTAGCGAGATGTATCAGCGGTTTCCGGCGGGGCGCTCGAGGCATGGGACGGAATCCCCGTGGGACCTAACACCTTGTCCTGGTGCTTATAATCGTTAATCTTCCTCCTGATAATCACGAGAGCTCCATCTGAGGTTACTGACGCTGTGCAGCGAATCTCACCGCTCCATTTTGCAGATCTACGCTACCGCAAGAGGCGTCGTATGGTGTCCGAACCCCAAGAGATCGAAGATAAACTCGAAACGCTCATAGTCCGCGTTGGAGAAAAAGTGAGTTCTCTGCCAGGGTTTCGCCGACTTGGAGAACTTCCCGGCGAAGTTCTCATCGCGGCGAATCATCCTCGATAGTCCTTTTGATCCTTGGATAGCGAAAACTCGAAACACCATCTCCTTGTGGACAATACGAATTTATCACTTGCGATTTCAGAGTACTTCATCGCTGGAATCCAATCTAGAACAGTTATCCGGTGTTCTTGTGTCAGATCTATCCAACTTCAAGTCCAATGTCCTGAAGATCCTGATCGACTGGTAGGCCCTCCCGAGCACTGATGCGCTCGATCACCCGCTAAATCAATGCCGGATATCTCATCTTTTTTGATGCGACTGACCTCTTGGATCGAATTCCAGTGCTCAGAAGATGCCAGAAAAAACAACAATATATTCGACGTTGGTGGGACTCTTGAACGCGAAAAACTATTCTTTCGGTGGCGAATTTGTGGAAGTCCTCTCGAAGAGTCTCAAGGACTCGCTGAAGAACCAAGAGTGGGACACCGCGAGATACTGCGTCCGTTTTCTGGCTGATCTGGTCAATTGCAAAGTCATCAACATCAACAGCATTCTCAACCTATTGGAGAATTTCGTGGCTGTAACCAGCGAGGAGAGTATCCCGCAGGTGAGTTCTCGCGAATTTTTTCACATTCGCTCGATACTGTCGACGGCCTGGGGGACCGATTCCGAAACTTGTTGCTCGCATTGCAGGTTCGAGGTGATTGGTATGTCTTCACGGTCTTATCGAGCCTGCCGTTCGTCGGGAGAGAACTACACGAAAAGAAAGATCAAGAACTCGATCGGCTGCTCCGTCAGATCGACTCATACATCGGTCGGCGTAGGAAAACACACCTGCCTGCGCTCCAAGCCTGGAGCTCGGACACTCCACATCTCCAGGAAGAGGTAAACATCTGTCAACGCTAGATGAGTTGTCGAGGCTCGTGCGTCCGCGATTCTGCTCGAGCGACGGGGTACAGTGTTCCGAAGAGTTTCAGCGTTCATGACCGGCCCGGATCTCAGACGAGAAATTCTTCTTACAGTATCTGGACTGTCTGTGGTCTCAGATCTGCAAATTACGCAGCGACAAATGGACCGAAAACCATTTGGCTAGACCGTACTTGGCGTTCGACGGCGCGCTCTCTGAAGCCCTGCAACACAATCTCCCGGTCATCACTCCCCCGCCACATTCGACCGAATTCGTGTATCCCTCACCTTGGGTCGTTTTCAGGCTTTTCGACTACACCGATTGTCCCGATGTGAGCTCTGCGACGTTCGACCAAACAGATGTATGCGCATGTTCCCTCGGGAGGTCTCTCCTTTAATTCGCTAGATTCTCCCCAGGGCCCTTCACTGCCTGGAGCTCATTCGATCGAGCGCTTCTTGATCGAGGAGCATCTCCATCGAATTATCCGATTGCACCACAGGGAGCGGAAGCAGTGTGCCGCCGCGCTGCTCTCCTTCCACGGGAAGAGTAAAGTTCCCTTCGAATACATGATAACCGAGGTGATCTTCGGGGAGCTTTTCCTTCTGCCGAATTCCCCGCATCTGGACATCTGTTACGGCAGTCTCCTCCTCGAACTCTGTAAATTACAACCCAGCACCATGCCGCTCGTATTGGCGCAGACCGTGGAACTGCTCTACGAAAGGCTCGATACGATGCACACGAATTGTATAGACAGGTTGGTACTCAGCTGGATGCGATTGGTGCAATATCCTTGATGAACTTCTCTTCGGATAGGGTCACGATTTCTGCTCCGCCCCGATACAGGTTCTGCAGCTGGTTCGCATACCATTTGTCGAACTTCCAATTCCGATGGACTTGGGAAGATTGGCTCGACGCGGCCTCTTTCGACCATCTCCATCCGAAGCCCATGTTCCTGCAAGGCGCCCTAGCGAAGTGCATGAGGCTCTCGTATCACCAGAGGTTGATGGAGATCATCCCTCAGGACTTACAGCAGTTTGTGCCGAATCCTCCGCTTCCGAAAATCAAGTACGGAGAAAACGCTCCGGACGACACACCGGGTCTGGCCATTTCGAAGAAACTGACGGAGGCAATCAAGAGCCGCTGCACCGACGAAGAGGCCATGGAGATCATCCAAGAGCTCGGCAAGACCTCACCTGGAGACGAAGCGATGGACACGGGGGCAAACTTCGACTTGCTGAAGGTCGACGTATTCGTGCATACTTTAATGGCGATTGCTTGCAAAACGATGTCGCACTCTTTCGCCGGAATTGCCAAGTTTCATTTCGTGTTCAAAAAACTCAGCCAAGGCTCTGACGAGAAACAGCTCCAGATCCTTTTCTCTGTTTACGAAATCTGGAAGGATCACCATCAGATGATGCAGGGCATCATCGATAAATTCTTGAAGACACAGATCGTGGAAGCATCCACAGTCGCCAACTGGGTTTTCTCTAAGGAGCTCAAGGGCGACTTCCACAAGTGAGTGTAAATTCGACTGTGCTCATGTATCGAACAGCGATTTTTAGACTCGTTCCACAATTTTTCCATTGACCCGTCTGACGTCCCCGCAGGCCTTACCTATGGGAGATACTTCACCTCACGATTCGCATAAAAATAAAACAAGTGAAAAAGCTGCAGTCCGATCTTGAAGCCGCCAAATCGCGGAAAGAAGACGACGACGAGGAGCCGATCCCAATTGAAGATCTCGAGCGCATGGAAGAAAAACTCGACGCTGCGCAAAGCGAGCTCAAGAACCTGTTTTTGATCATTTTCCAAAGATTCATTATCCAGCTGACCGAGCACATCGCTGCCTGCGAAGCCGAAGGGACCGATTTCAGAACGCAGTGGTTCCGTTGGACGGTGGGACGGTTGTTGGAGGTATTATTTAGGGTGAGTTCCGATTGTGGAAAACGAATCCACTCCCGCTCCGGCGCAAGCGACCGCAGTGTTTCTCCGTATTTTTCCGCCAGCATCGTTCCTGCCGATGCTCAGATCGCTCTCGGATTCATCGGAGTTCTCACGAATAACTTTCTTTCCAGCACCATGAGCATGTCTTCAACTACATCACAACGCTTCAAAGTTTACTTTTCTCATCGGATGTGGACCCTCACATCCTGGCGGTTTACGAGCAATTCCTGGCCCTCCGTAATTAAATTGAAAGTCATACCAATTGTATCCTATATTCAATGGACGATCTGAATAAAGAAGTTTTCGTCAAGTCACGTCTCGATCCTTGCCGGCATCATGGGTCGACCTTCGATCTAGACACGTTCTATACTCCCGGAGGAAAAACATATCACATCGCTTTGAAGCTCTATGATTTACGCGAGGGAGTCCTCCAATGGAAATCTGAGAATATATTGCTCGTGACCCCGTCGTGTATGTGCGCGCGTGTGATTCCACTCAAAGCCGCCACGCTCAGATAAGGCTCAAACAGTGAGGAGAGGGAGGGAGCGCTCATGCTCTCAGACCTCCTCCACAATCAACGAGAGTGATGCCGGCGAGCAGAATTTCAGTCGCCGCTCGATAAGATCAAGATTCGCCCAGAATCCGCTCGAGTGGGCGCAGTGAGGTCCTCCTGTACATCTTGTGGAGTACTTAACCACCGCTGAGGATCCGTTAATTTCTCCGGTAAATCGGATGGAACCGCCGATTCCCGGGTCGAGGACGATCCGCGGAGCGATACGTTTAGTGCGTCTGATGGATTGGTCATGAACCTATCCCCGGACTCGATCCGGCCTACGGCGGGTGAGGAAGATGCTTAATTTGTTCGGGGAGAAAATATTTCCTGGATCGAGGAGGAGGCAGCCGATTCCGAGAAGCAGGCTTTTCCGCAGACCGCGATCATCTCTGACATAATGGAACCCGTTCCCCTAGTTCGTGATTTTCTTAGGGGATTCTCATCGGAAAGGCAATCAATGGAAATGATCGTGGAGGCAAGGACGGAAAATTGTGTTCCTAATCGGGATGTCGAGTGAGCTCGTCTTGGTTCTCATACGAATCGCTCATTACGGGAATAAAGGGTACGTTTCCGTTCAAAGTCGGAGCTTCGGTCGATCCGTTTCCTGAGTCAGTACCGCTTACGAAACCATGTTGACCAATATTCAGCCACAGCTGGCGTTTCTTGAACGGTCCCTATTATACGATCCTGCTCGCTCAAAGTGACATGTGGGACCACCAGCTTGGTGACCGCGGGAATACCTTAGCCATTCTCACAGTGTACAGCTCATCAAGTACGGGTCTGGGATTCAAGGGACAGCAGAGTCGGAAGCATATAGCGTGGTACAATCTTGATTTATTCTCCAACACCTTATTCCAGGTTCCAGGGTCCCTTGTGAATATCCGCCAACGGGAATCAATCGAAGAAGCCTCTCGCTCGGTATCCGACGAAGTTTCTTTCCGCCGCTAATCAGCTGGTCTTAGAATCATGGTAACCACAGATCTCGACGCGGGATCCAGGGAAACCGAGACATCTCCGGGAAGCTTGGGAACGACCGAGAGACAAAGTTTGGTCAGGACTGACCCTCGCCGCAAGAAAGCCTCAAGTGACCGAACTCCGTTGGTGAAAAATCCGACAGATGTCAGGGAGGAAGCCCTACGGGTATCGTTTCGGACTCGAGGACTCGAGACAGAGATTTGTGTGGAGAGCATTCTGAGACTCCCACAACCAACAATGATTCCCACCAAGATCCATAGGTCTGAAGCGAATCGAAATTAAGATGTGAATTCTCAGGTTCTCTCGTGTGTGCTGGCATCATCGGTTATCCTGACCCTGTCGGGGATGTGTTTGATTTTCTTCACCGAAGACATCAATGATGTTCTGTGGGAATCAATCGCTCTAATAATCATCGGCTCATCTGGAACCGTGGTCACCGTTCTGCCTGGCTCGGGTCAGTTTGATGCAATACTAAACGTATGATGATTCGATATGACTTCTTCTTATTTCGGCCCAGGGAGCTTCCTCGGTCGGATCTCCTTAGCGGCAATCTATGCCCGAGGAATTTCACGTCCAGTTTGAAAGATCCCCGCAAAGTGATAACCTCCCGATTCCCGATTCTGTCGAGCAGGGCCTTTCATAGTGGATCAGTGGAAAGACTTGAAGTCGTCTCTGCTGGTTCAGTGCCGTCATCTATCCTGCTGCGGTCCTTGTAAGAGCATCTACACCCGCAAATCACAAGAAACTACCGAGCCTACCGCCTAGTGCTGACCCTCATAATCGTGTTCATTGATATTCGTCGCGACAAATCATCTGCTCCTTGGATCGGTCTGAGACGCGCATATCCTACGAAGAGGACTACATCTACTAGGGAGTCGAGGTAAGAATGGGAAGCGTGCGCGGTTTGACGACGCCGAATCAAGTATCTCTACGTGACGTATGCATATACCGAAGTATCGCTCGACGGGTTCCTGACTGATGCAGGTAGGAACATGGATGCAATCGAAACAATGAAGAGTCCTTAGATCATTAGATCTCAATCATTTATTTTACAAGGGGCATGATTCCGATATTCGAGTATAAACACTATCAAACAGAATTTGTTCGAGTGTGAGAGGAGACGATCTGTTCACCCAGCGGAGTCGCCATCAACTTGATAGAAAACCGACTCAATATTGCCGGGAGAAAATATCATCGGTTGTACCAGAATAGCTTCTATCGAAACTAATTTAGAGCACGAGATGGGAAGACGAGGAAATCTCGGTTGCCCGTATTAGGAGCGGTCATTCCGCCTCCGAACTAAGCATTGGAGCAATAAAAATTGGAGACATCGCTCTTCGAAATCTTGAAATACATTCACAAGTCGTGCTCCGATTTCCGATATTGCCCTAGCTTTGAGAGTGAGGGAGGATCAGTCCGGTAATCCAGTCCGGCAACATCGTCCGTCTGGGTGTCTGCTGATATTCCCCCGAAGTTTTTGAGAGAGAACCAACGATCAGAGTCGGGCTCAGGTGACGTGGAAAAATATCGCGGTCGCAAGCCGAACTGCCAGGTTCTAATCATTATTGGGAGAGTGGGTGACAAGGGTGCATTCAGCGAACCATATTTTTCCGTGCCCGAATCCCGAGATTCTCGGTCATGGAGAATTCCCTGCTTCTCGGAGAATCGTTCCTTTCAAGAAATGCATATGTATGTTCGTCGTTGCATTTGGACTGAATCAATCCCATCTCGCGGAGAGAAATCGTGAACATTATTCAAGGATCCTGAGCAGATGACTCTAGAACACTTGTTAGGCGGAGTTCTCCGTCGGGCAGGTCTTGAAGCTCGAAGCTCCTCAAGTATCTTCGATGCATCGGGCTCGTCACCGAAGCTCCGGAAGACATGAGCTCTGTGAATGTTGCGGAATCATTTCGACCGTGGCCAAGTATGGATAAGCTCGCACGCCAACGCACAGACAGTGCCTCATCGAGATGACGGTTGGGAGAGAATAATCCTCTCAAGTTTCTACCCGACATCGGCTGTCGGAGGGAGCCGCATACCGTCTCCAACGCATCAAACTGGTCAAGCTCCCCGGGACTGTATTCGGGATGGAGGACCTTTTCCGAGTGGCTCCGTGGCCGTTCAACCAGGTCGACGGGTTCTCACCCTTCATGAATAAAGCTGGTGGCTTCGTAGCGATCTACCATGTGCGAATATCAAAAAAGTTAGTTTGCAAATTTTTGTATTTATTTTTTGCTCGTAAGGATCATGCAGTTGCTGATGCCGCTGTTGGTGGTCTCGCCTCTGCGCTCAAAAGAGTAATACTTTTTTTCTCGATGCGCAATCGCTTTCTCCCCAACGTCTCACTTCCTTCGAATTTCCACTCTTCGACATGTTTCAATTTCTCTATTGCCGCTCTTTTTTACTTCCGACTTTTTTATATACTCATATATATATTCAATATCGTTCCTCCTCCTTTCAACCTTCCCTGCTCTAAGATCTCTATGTTTGAAAACAGGAGAGAATCAAGGGGGCTGAAAATCAAATAATGCAGTAAGCGTAAGCCGGATGATGATGGGAATGATGGACTCGATGTCGAGTTCTGTCGGGTGCTGGAATTTCCTCCATTCTCTTGGCTCTCTAATGAAGGGATCAAGATTTGATTTCATAAAAGGGGGAATGGGTAGTTTTACTTCATCAAGTCCGGTCGGTCACCAATTTCTTCCGCTTCTCGCTCCTACTTTAACTTCGCTCCCGCCTGAGTTTATGAATCTGCCCATCCTCCATAGAAAATCATCAGTAGAGCTCCATCAAACGCACAGGGGTCGACGAGGTCAACCTCAGTATTCGTCTCGCCGTTGGTTTCCCGTTCGCACGTGTCTTTCCCAAAACCACATCCACGGCTCTCGTCTCGTGGGAACCGTTCCCGCCAGATGGATTCGATACCCAAGTCACCGATGGTTTCCTTTCATTTTGTAAATTATAAATGTAGTGATAATCGTCGTCGTTTCCGCCCTCCATCATGATAATAATAATGGCCCTTTACCTACTACTTGCCATCCTCAATTACTACACCGCTATTGGTAACAGCCCTCCCACCGTTCCAGCGTATCCACCTTGTTGCTTACCTAAGAGGTGCACCTTCTCTGCTGCATACATCTCAACCAAAAGAGAAATCAGTTCGGACTCGACTCGTCTATTCTGAACAGCAGTAACCTCGAGAAATTGAGTAACTATGTCATTTCAGGGTAGGGATGATCGGGAAGGATTCGGGCGGGACAGGTGGGCGCCATTTGGTGCAAACAGGGGTGGAGGGACAGTTCGTGATTAGGAGCTAACAAGAGAGGCTTTCGTAGAGAAGGATCTAACATGGAGTAACGACGCATATTCATTCTTGTCTATCTGTTTGTTTGTTTGTTTGCTTGAAGGGTTTTTTCTTGGTACGAAACGGTCGTTGTTACCAAATCATTCGATCGAGGGAGCGAATCGTGCTGCACAGAGGTGGCGATGGTGGTATGGTGTGTGGTCACGAGGAGGCAAAGATCGGGAGTTAAAATCACATTGACGGTCAGACTTTGCGTCGACAGCTGATGCTTCCTTATTTTTCCCCAAGATGGTGCTGTGGATGGTGGAGAAGGAGATAGCATCTACTTGCAGCATCCGCCTGATTGGTTGCTCTCTGCGCTCTGAGCCACATTTAACCGCTGTCCTTGTTGATTCGCTGCGTCATTCTTGGGGAGCTTCTTGGCGATCGCCAAAAATATATCGTTCACGTTCGTGGCCGTCTTTGCTGAAGTCTCCATGAAGAGCAGCTGGTTCTCATCGGCGTAGGCCTGCGACAAGGGCGTCGAATTAGGATCATGGCGCGGACGCTCCATTGTGGACTCGGGGCTCGTCGCCTTCAGTTTTCGATTCTCGGTAAACAAGCGAAAAATTGCTCTCCAGGAGGCGGGAAGGAGAATGGCCGCGGTAAACTTCCAAAGAGCGGGAATGACGAGGAGAGCGGGAATTACGGGGAGAGCGGGAATTGGGGACTCACCTGAGCTTCCGCTGTCTCGACGGCTCGTTTCGAAGCCAAATCAGCCTTGTTGCCGGCCAGAGCAATGACAATGTTCGGAGACGCCTGTCTCTGCAGCTCCTTAACCCAGGTCTTCGCGCGGGAAAATGTGTCCGGGTTCGTCAGATCGTATACTACAATGGCAGCCTGCAAATTGGAAATTGTACTGAATCTGTGCGCTCGAGTCTCGTTGTTTCGAAGGACGAAAATCAATGGACACACGGGTCATCTAGATCTGGGCACAGCTCGGGACTATGCGGCTCTAAGGGACCTACCTGAGCTCCCCTATAATACATGGGTGCAAGAGAGTGATATCTCTCTTGGCCAGCGGTATCCCAGATCTCGAATTTTACAGTAGTGTCATCCAAGCAAACAGTCTGCGTGAGAAAAGCGGCACCGATGGTCGACTCCTGATATTCGTGGAATTGTCCTTTTACAAATCGAAGAACTAATGAGGATTTGCCTGTAAGGGAGCAGAGAATATTAAGAGGGTGTCGGAAAACAATTTTCAAGGCAGAAGTTGAGTCTCTTTGAATACCTCCTCCAATCTCCGCTCTCGGGAAGGCGCGGGTGATACTTCCAACTCATCTACGTTTAACTCGATCGAAACTAGTGCTCAGCAGTCGAGCCAGAGGGAGGAAAGTCTTACCGACAGCACTTTCTCCGAGGAGAACGAGCTTGAACTGACAGATCTTGCCGGCCGTCGCGCCGTTACCCGGTCCGCCTTGTGCTCTGTTCGACATGGTTTCAGGTTCCCCCAAAAGCTTGGATCCTCCTTCCGGTGACGCGCGAAGTATCCTAAAACCGCTTCTTCACTTCAGACCTGGAAATGAACACGAAATTATCAAATAAGAAATCGAGACGGCACCAGGAGCCCACACAATCTCCACTGCGAATCCTTCGGTTTCGAGTGCACCGAACGGTTTCACGGAGCAAGCGGGATATCCTCTGGAATGAGATGGATCAGAATGCTTCCGACCCCACGACCCCGGCCAGCGATCCGAATCCCAGTGCCATGATTAGAGGAGGGATCTAGATATTTTGGATGGCACTCTCCCGGCTGTAGAGCGAGATTTCCCGAGAGATCGAGGGAAATTTGAGAAATTCCGGAAACTTGTTTCGGGGGAATCCGGTCACGGAGCCGTCGTTCATGGGGGACCGAGGTACGGACATCGGAGGGCATCAAGGATGTTCCTGGTTGTGGCCGGATCGTATCAACTGATGTGCCGCTTTTCTCTGCTCCGATGCTTCTTGTTGACTGGAGCATAACGGAGCTCCCCGCCCCGACAGTGACGTAAACTCGTGTTAGGCTTCAGGGTTAAGGACATCGAGCCCACCGAACGGAATGGGATAAATAGACGACCGACCGAGCAGAGGATACGGCGGCAGAAACGGGCACACGATAGGTCAGTTATGCACTAAGCCGACGGGTGAAATCCTTCGACATTCCAGCAAATGATGGGCGTATATCAGCGAATTCGATGGGTTCTGAGAAAAGCGGATTTAGAATGGGATCAAGCGAGAGATCAAGGTTTCTTGGCGAGCGCTTCAATCACTTTGGGAAGGAGAACCGCACCGATTCTGCCCGATCGCCCCCTGGCCTCTGAAATCAGCTGTTCTCCGGAACAGAGGCTTCGCCCGTAATCACGTCCCCACAGAGCGACGTCCGTGAGACTAGAGACCAGAGACCCGATGACTCGAGTGCATACGGTCGTCCATCTCGAGATGTAATGCAATTCAATATACAGATGAACGTCCGACCATCAAGAAGGCATATGTAGGCATTTGTGGAGTATGGGACGAACTCCGCAGTACTCGATGGAACCTCACTCGAAGCTAAGTTCGAAAACACGTGACGGCGTAGCTCTGCTATCGGCCACTGCTAGAAATAGGCACCCCTATGGCGAGCGAGAATTCCACTGCACACACCGCGACGTCGACGACAGGAGTTCCATTACGCAAAAATCATATTCACGCGGTACGATAACTGTGGGAGCCGTTTACTGCGACGGCGAACGCAACCGGAAGCACACAGCGTCACCAGTTGCCAGGGAGCTGCTTGAGGATCATTCACGAAAGTGCGAGTGAGTCTTCAATGCTTGCGAATAGCACTACGCAAACTGACGCGAGCGTACCGTGGCCGTCGCCGCGATCGACCACTCGCCCATCGGTAGGGTTGACTCCGAGTTCGTAATTGCGCCAGTTCAATGACAAGGGTATTCAATTGAAACCTCGGATCAACTTAAACACCACATGTGCCGTCGGTGTTATAGAAGCAGCAACGACAAATCGCCTGTCTGACGGACGGACTGAGTCATTTCCAAGTCGACGGAATGGAAGAGAGAGAGCTCTCTTATATCGCAAAATGGATTCCTACACCACGACTCAGGAGCTCGGACATTCCGAAGGAGCTCCCGGAATCCGTTTCGAGCTCTAGCGGATCCCGCACCTTGCTCGCTGGTGGGAATGTCAGGCCGTCACGGGAGCTAATTCAACAACAGTTCTGAATTGATCTCGCGACGTCGAATCAAGCGTCGATGGCTGGCCGTGTACAACGCAGTTCTGTCAAAGCAGCGCGTTCATAATCGAGTCGATATCGTCGCCGAGAACACTTTAGGCCTCACGACATCACTGCAGGTCGGCATCACCGCGACCGCGAAGAATAGTCCACGTACATGAGGAGACACGGGACAATTTTCGGTCCTTCTAGTGCATCTGTCATCGAGAAGGGGATCGTTCAAAGAGGAGGAAACCTTCAAAATCGAGCATAAATACGAGCCGAGAATCTAATTGCATCTAAAGGGACTCACGCGCTCCGAACAAGCAGGGCTTCTGAACCCTACGACAGGAAAATCACTGTATTATTGATTCCTCAAGGAATCGCCCCTTTCAAGAGATGGTAGCAGCCGCCGCAGCAGCAGCAGCCAGCAGCTCACTCAAGCTCATAGCTACCACTGGCAACTCCCACACGGAAAGTACGTAGCACACAAGTCAGCCGACTCGATGGCGTTGGGCTTCGATTTACCTCGGCAGGGCGCAATGTCCTGAATTGAAGCGGGTCCGACTCTGATTGCGTTTGTACGAATGCGATCTACGTGGGGCTTCTCCGTCTCTGCTTCCACTTACTACCTCTGCTGGTGCTGTCGACCGATGGCCACCACCACCAAGATGTGTCTTGTTGCCAACAAACAAACGTACCACGACTCCGACGTTACGGCGGAGGCACTTCTATGGCGCATTTCAATACTAGCTCACTACGCGACAACATCGTACAGTTTACCGCAACGCACTTGTACATCAATCGCGGCTACACATGGCGTTTTGAATTATCACACTCTGGGAATCTCACCTTACGCATGACGAATTCGAAGTCTTAGTCCGGACCGTTCACCCACCGAGTTTCTCGCTTAATGTGGAGCATTCGAAAAGTATAAGGCTCATTTTCCGAATGAAGTTCGTCTGCTAGGACTGTTTCGTTTAGGGTGCAGCGGATCGGGACCGAGGCGGAAAAATTCGACTTGTGGTTAATGGTGTTGAATTACCATTATTTATTAGTGGTCGGTAATCGCCCATCCTTGTCGCGCCGAGTTCACCGTGGCTCGTAGGCAGGAAGGTGCACGGATGAGATTTCCGTCTTTCTGCAAAGGGGATAGATGCCCGAATTTCTTGGCGGGGATACTCGGAGGAGAATTTCTCACGCCCTATCGATCGTCCAAATCATCACGAGACATTGGAGGGGACTTCAATCGTGACGAGTCGGACCTTCTAAATCCTTCCGTATCTAGTTACGGCGAAGCGCTTCATGTGAGACATCCGGAGCATCGGATTACGGCAAGGGTCGTACCTCGATCCGCAGGAGACTTAGAACAAAATGCGTTCTCGGAATGCCCGAGAAAAAAAGGAAAAGAATATCTCAAGAGAGCTCATCGGAGACGGCTCGAGGACCGTCGAGAACTTCTCTATCCTTCTACTAGCTGATTGTATCGTACGTTCATGGTGGCTAGCATCGATTCACCGTACGCGGGGCTTGGCCATCGCGGCTCTCTTGAGAGCTGGAACTTGGTCAAGATCGATTAGAGAGAGTCCGATGACTTATGCCATTGGCTACGGAGCGGGATTCCACGCTTATTACGGCCAACAGCTTGGCAGTTGCTCAATGAGTTCACTAAAAGGGGTGCTCCTGAGGAGGTAGCAAGTGGCGACTGTGCCCGGTCACGGCGTGACCCGGCTCGGCACCCTTCCCAGCTTCCGACTCTTCTGCAGCGGAGCTGATGCATCAGAGGTCGACAACGGGATGCAAGCTTACCAAAAGCATAGGGATTATTTCGAGCGATAGGTGCAGCCAACGAATGTTTACCAATCACTGAGGGACCCTGAGATCCATATACAGAGCTATGCCTATTACTCCAACCGATATTCAGGGGGGTTCGACGAAGGGGGAGGGGTCGAGGTGAAAAGTTGCGGACACAGCTCAACTCGAGCTCGGACACACAGATACTGCTCAGTACATCCTCCGTGGCCACGTATAGGGCAGCAATAATTTTCGCGACCCATTCAATGCGACGACGCGTGGAAGGACTCTATCAGCTGGATACCTGTATCCTGACGATGGCATTCAGACGATGCTGATAGTTAGCGCGGGGGATCGAGGGATACTTCATCGGCAAATCAATAGTCCATCGACACGGAGCCCTGAAAATTCTTTCCCCGCTGACAGATGAGAGAATACTGATTCCCCCGGGAGGAGCCCGGCCAGGAAGCTTCATGACCCGAAAATAGCGAGCTAGTATGTTCGTCAGGATCTAATATAGAATAAGGCGGTCTTGGCACCGGGATAATCGATGCTCGATCCAACAGGTATATTCTTGGTCTTTTTCATCCAACGAGAATGAAAGTTCGACTCCATGAGTCCGGATGCGCCTCACGCTCTCTGAAGCCGTCGATGCGCTCTCTGGCGTTCCAATCGATGTCGTGCACGACTCGCGCGTCTTCAAGCCGTTGCGAGCCTGTCCGAAACCCCTTTATTTACAAACTTCCTGCTGGACATCGAGAGGGAGACATCGAGGAACTGAAGCCAACCCAAGACGTCAAGTTTCACCGAGCTCATCCCAGGAAATCCGTGGTGCTAAATGGTTCTTTCCGTGGTACATCTGAGATGGCAGACATTCGAAAATTGGCGGGATCCGTCCCGGGAGCTCGACGGGATCCCAGGTCGTAGTTTCGACGAGAAGCACGGATGAGATCGGGAGGATTGTGTGATACCGCTCTCTCGAGATCTATCTGAGCCTTTATCCGCCGTGCCCTTGAGATCTGCTGGCATTAGCAAGACTGGGGTCGATACGCGATTTCGGAAGATGTTGGGAGCGCCCGCAACGGTCACGAGATGCGTTCATCCGTTTTCTGTGGCAGGCAGGACTATAGTCAACGGCGGCGGCAGTACAGAGCAGCAGAGCAGTTGTTGTAGCAGAAGGCTAGCAGACTCAGTAGTGCAAGGAGGGATCGTCGTCGAGAGTGGGTGCTACTATTGGGCATGATCACTAAGTGCTGAGTCCCGAAGGGGACAGGGGTCCCCTCTTCCAGAGGTAGCACTCCGACTCGAGAAGAACAACGGAGCCCATCTGCCGAGAATTTTCATCTGCCTCCTTACTCTTTCAACAAAACCGACGTAGACCTCATATTCTGAGAAAACAAACTACCACGAAACCATCATCACCCCTGATCTGGTCTGCCAATTGGATGCAAAGAACTCCTGAAATCCTCCACGATGCGAACGCCGGCTTTCGACGCGAGAGCCACTATGGCCTCTCTGGTGCTGCTGGCCGCCTGCGGAGTTTCGGCCCAGGAGACAGAATCCGTGAAAACCTACTCCAACGAATTCGTGGTGAAAATGCCTGGGAAGACACCTGACGAAGTGAGACAGCTCGCGGAGGAGCATGGATACACATACTTGGCGCCGGTGAGTTTCCCTCTTGCTTCATCCTCGATTAGCTGAACCCGACCCCTCGAGGGACGACGTGATGGGAACTTGGCAGGATTATTTGCACTCCAGCTGGGCTTGCGAAACTATGAGCCGGAGCGTCCAGACGGATATCCTATGTTCGTGGACCAGCCAGCATTCGGCGATTGGCGCTCTCCGGTCATTCCGGAGGCTATTTCTGCGGGAGCATGACCGCATGTACACAGATGCTCTCGTTATCTCTACAATTGTCGCCCCATCGGTTGAGCATCGAAATGAGTCTGGCTGCCTGCAGATGCTCAGGCAGCCGAGTCGCGAATTTCCCGGAGCCCTACACCGCAGTGCGAGGCTTTAGCCGCGAAAAATCGGCATGGAGTCGCCGGAGCTCGGGAACTGGTCTGGAGTATCGAGAGATCCCCCGTAAGCACGGCTCTGTGAGAGTTCGAAAAGAAAATTCTCATCCACCCGTTCGGCGCTCAACCCCTTGCGATGACCTTTCCTGCTGTCAGTAACTGCTATCTCAATCAGAATGAAAGTCAATGCAGATTGCCCATCGTTCAGATATAGACCAAGCTGTCTCTTTCTCCAGTTCGAGAAGGGATTCGGCATGGCTTGCTGATTTGAGCGAGGCCGATGTATCTCGTGTATCCTCATACGAACTCGTTTCCCTGTCCCGAGACTTCCTTGTTGAGTTATCTTCGCGCTGGGGGCCATCCGCCCGGTCGTAGGACCGTGGGGTTCGCGTAGGAGGCAACTTCGGCAACTTTGCAGAACCCACTTAAAAACTTTGGGAACTGTTCGCCGTGGCCTACGCTTCGATTGATAGCGCAATAAGAAACTCGGATCATTGGTAAACTTTTCCCAGCTCCACAACACTCTTGGAAGCTGTTCCAAGGAGAAATGCCGTATTAGCGTGTTTACGTCGTAGGGTCAGGTTTTCGAATGCACTCGGTGACGCTGTCGAAGAGCTGAAGTCTACGATCGCTGTGAGCGACTTCAAATGCCCGCAGTGAACGAGGCTGTTAGTCAGCAGGAAACCAGCTTCCGGAATGCTCCGGACCCATCGGTGATCGAGATGAGGTTCCCTCCGAAGAGACTCCAATGATATATGGAAAATCTTCGGTAGGGAATTGACTTACAAGAAGGAGCAACGGAAGGCGTCTTCGGCGTACTCAAATAATTTCGAAGTTCAAGTCGGGAATCTTTAGAATCGCCTGCAAGCATCGAATCTTTTTCGGTGTGGAACCGTTTCCCATTGTTCAATTCAGGCTCGCTTATCTTCTGGTGAAGTACGAGGAACGCTTTGTCATCTCGCTTCTCCGATCAGCTGATAATTCGGATTCTCAGTCGGCCGTTGAAATCATCTGTTAACCCATCGGTCAAATTCTTGGGCCTTCGTCCTTCTGTTCGAAGTGTCCTGTTCCACCCCTGAGGACTTTCCTGAAGCCGTTCGGCGCTGTTAATCCATTACTCAACCCTGAAAATGACCTCTCCCATGCAATGCTGGCGCTCGCCGTCGTGGGGAATGTTTAACAGAATAAGCGATTGACAAGAAGCGGATCGTTTTAGATGTTCACGTGTCTGGTTCGCCTTCCGGAGGTCACGGTTTCTCGTGGGAGACTCATCCGCCACGAGAATCGTGGTCGTCGATGCGGTCGACGGCGACAGTAGTCCTAAATCGAATCAGATTGGCGTTGACTGATGCATCGCCTGCTGGCGAAACGATAGAGACCTGGAATTTCACGGAGCTCCGACATAAGTCATGATCGTTTATAAAACGGCACTTGTAGCTTTATGGTCGATGTCGATGGTGTCTCCGCTCCGATAAAGTCATCGTCAGCAGGAAGACGCGGAGCGACGCCCATCCGTGCTATGACCAAGGAAACATCGCAGAGCACCGAGAAAAACTACAGGGGGGAAAGACTCGACGGGCTACCAAAGATTTCCATGCTCGGTATGCGACTGAGCTATTGCGGTCCGGTCTCATTAGCGATGAGTGTCGGAAAAAAATTCGGCAGGGTAGAAGGGTCGATTTGAGGGCTTCCCTGCGAGGAGATGGGTCAGGGCTTGAGAGAGCCTGTTTTTGGAATTTGATGAAAACTGTCCGACGAGAGCGTAACTAACAAGCGGAGCATTCGTCCCTGCGACGGTAATTCCGCGCGAGCAGATTGTGTCGGGATTGTGAACGAGCGACCGACTGAATGAACGAATCGACGCCCAACCTAGTGACAGAGCAGCACGAACAAAGACTTTCCAACTAGATGTAATCTACTAGAACGAAATTCAAACAGAATATCCAGGCGCGGGGACATTCGGTGATTTTTATAAGCCGCCACGGAATCTTTCCAAACACAAAGTCATCAGAGGCGCCTGGATGAATTTTCTGACAGTGATTTCACTGTTGTGGCTTCCATAGTCGACGGGAATCATTGTTCGTGCCGTGGGTTTCACGTTCTTTTTTTTTATCGCTCCGCGTAGTTCTGTTTCGACATAAAGATACTGTGTGAGGTGTTGTCTATTCATGATCAGTGATGACAGTCACCGCAGAAACAGCATTCATCGACTTCCGAGTCGAATGGAAACTCCAGTCCAGCTTCGGTTTCTGCAAGAAGCGACTGCTGAAGCGTCAACGTTCCATGATGATGCAAATTCCTAAATTCAAATTTGATCATATGTGGGTGTCGTCAAGGTCGCTCGTCCGCATGGAGATCACCGGCCTCGATGCCGAGCTTGAGGACGATTGCGACTTTGGGCTCGAGTTGTTTTCCGCAAGCTTCTCGAATCCCTTGTCCTCGTCGTCGGGGCTCTCGGGCGGGTTCGCCGTGTTGTCGGTAGCCCGAATTCCGGCGTCGACCGGCGGAGCGATCTGCGGCCTTCCCGTCTGCCTACCCGCCCGTCTCTCTATTCTTTCCATCAGTGTGACAGTTGCTCTGTTTTGCATCGGCAAATACTGACTTCGCGGCCACGACGTTGACATTGCCGTCGATGCACTGCGTCTGGCACTGATAGCTCTTCGGATAGATTTAAACTTGCATTTTCTTATGGGGGCCGTTTAGCGAGGAATTCGGCTGGCAGTCAAAGCGACTCCTCCGCCAACGTCTCACGTAGCTCGGGACCGATGCCCTGAATGCAGTTTCCTTGATAGTTTCGGTCGGAAGACGAATTAGAACCAAAGCGACTTGGGCTGATTTTCATTCCGATGGTGACGCGAGCACGAATATCTATTCTTATGCGGAGGATGAGCGGCTTTCGTGTTCTTCGCCGACGGGGTCCAGAGGACAAGGATGGCCGCTGATGATCTCATGTCTGGATCATGCAAAGAAGCTCCTCCACACTAAAAGCTCCCCCGATCGATGCAAATCACCTCTGGCAGACTGCAGTGTTCTCCTAATGACGTTAGTCTGAAAGGTCGCGCGGTCCTCGACTGTAAGACACTCTGTCCACATCTAAGTATATCATTTCTGAATCGAACTTGAAGACTCCGTCTAGTGAAACATCGAATCAGCCATGCGTCCCCCGAGGTGAACGCCTCCGCCTAATGGGCTTCATTCACCGAGCGTAGTGACCGCCCATATTTTATGTTCGTCGGTGACGTCCTGAAAGAGCCGAGTCAGAAAGTTCCAAAGCGAATTTCATGACAATGTAGGACACAGAGTAGAACGACTCGAGAAGACGAGGTGGAGGGTTGATCCGCGATACGGAGGAGCGTTTTGCGGATGCCTTTTCCAATTTTGGCCTCTATGGAGAACAAGCTAGCCATCGGTGGAATGACTTTTTCACTTGGGCTCGCTTTCTCCCCTGATGTCGTCGCGTAAAACGTGCCCCCCCCCTCTCCGGAAGCCTGAGCGCTACAACATTCACCTGATCCGTGCTCCTGAGCTTCCCGGATCCGATTAGGGGACGGAGCCTTCAGCGCGACCTCTTCTGCCTCAATACGCCATCGGGTACTTCACTCGAGTGCATGCCAGGAATCACCCGATTGTTCTCCGGGAATTAGTCTCTTCCCATGCGTCAGAAGTCATTGCTCGTTCTCCGTCGCCGCCCGAAAAATGTCGCTCTGACTCAACGAGTGAAAGCATTCGAATTTGGCAGCAGCTGATTTTGATGGCCACTGGTAAAGTGCCAAGAGCTGGGTCCAATCGTGCTCAAGAGTCTACTAGTCGTCTAGGTTGCAGGCCTTGAGCAAGGCGAACAACGTTTTGATACGGTTAGACGACAACCTGCTGGATATCGAGAATCGTTTCCCAAACCAGAACCGTCAACGGAGAGCGCTCGGAATGAACTCTCGTATGGGCGTCGGAGAATCATGCTCTCCGGAGCAACCCGCGAAGCTTTCTGCGTGGAATGTTGATTAGACATCATCATTGTTATATTGCGCAAGCAAAACAAACGGAAGCGGAATCGTTTTTTCGGTGCGAAGGTCACAAGTATATGCGGGGGAGTCTTCTTCATTCAGATGAGACGAATTTTCTGATATTATTCGCCTTATTCTGTTACGACGCCAATTTTTCACGCGCGGACATAATTCGACTTCCACATGCATATGTACATTCGCGGGTGCATATTTTACGCCGGAAACTCCGGAGGGAGTAAGTCCACAAAGAGAGATTTGCTAAGCAAAACCCGAGCAAGCAAATTCTAATGCGATTCTAGGACGCATAGCGAAAACGTTGCTTCACAGTGGTTGCTCTCAGTCAGTGAAACGCTCAGTCAATGACAAAGGATCTTCCGCTTCGAAGCCAAGCGAAGTTACCGGCATTAGATACGAACGAACAGGGCCCGCGAGTCCAACAAATAGTTCTCCTCCATGCTCGGCTCTCAGAAGTCCCAGATCATTCGAACGAATCGGCCGCGCCTGGGATCGAATACAGAAAATTTCAGTTAGGCACAATGACTTGAGAAACCGTGACGTAGCAGAACGGATGCGAGTTTGAGATGTCTCTTTGGGAAGCTCCAAATGATGAGTCACTGAATCGATGACCGGAGTATTTTACCCTTGA